GTAGCTGGGCTGACTGATCTTCGGCTTATTGGGTCTGTATGTGCTGAGTCGCTCCACGACCTCGTACCGAGCTGTCAGAAATTGGTCCATTTCTGACCATCGAGGTAACTCCTTCCTTGAGTTGAGTGTTTGTTTGGTTTGTTCAGGTTCAAAAAACTCTTCTTTTCTTTAGTTTATTTGCTGGTGTATACTACAGATGTAACTCCTGCGGGAGGACTTACCAGCGGTAAGGTATGCCTGTCGTAAGAGGCAACTAAAATCCATTGATTCCCGCGGCAGACGGGTTTTTATACCGGAACAACCCAGATTTTTCATTCGGCCAAGAACTGTCCCTCTCGCGAAATTTCTCCACAAATTAATTTGTATTGTAATTTATCATATTTGCGATTACAACAACAACAACTGATATACCAATTACTGATTAAAACGTATATGAATGAATTTATGTACATTTTATTATGCATCCTTCATTTCATTAATGTTTTTTTTTTTTAATTTTTTTTCTTACTCGAAGCTTACATTCTCATTACTATTTTCCATTTTGCTTCTTTCATTCACAGCATGCCGCTACGAAAAGGGTGCCTGGTCAGAATGTACTAACGGCCAAATGACTAGATTGGATAAATTGAAAACAGCAGCCGCAAAAGCCAATTTGCCTGTTAATACTGACGCTACCGATGCCAATTCGGACTCCAGCTGTGAACCAATACGCAAAACTACGAAAAGATGTAATTCCGGTGGTGCGAAAATGGCCAACAAAGCAAATAAGGAACGCAAGCATAAGGATAAAGGTGATTAATGTAATTTAAATCTGTAATACAGAAAGTTATGCTTTAAGGTGTTAACATATTCATAAGTATAAACAAAAATTAGTTCATATTTTAAAATACAGATTAGCAATTAATCAAAGTGTAGCACGGGTCAGACGGAAATAAATTGTATATTCGTTTACGAGGTTAAAATGTTTCCAGATATTAGTTAGGAAAAGGTCCTCGCTATGAAGAGCGGTGTCCGTTGAGATAACTTGTTGTCTTACATCCTAAACTTACGGTTAGATGGCCACAAGACTTATATAAACTCGGAGAGAGTCACTACATACGTTCTGCAACTTTGAAAATAATCTAGCTCTTTTAGATATAATTTCTTTAAAAATTAATTATATGTATGTAGTATATTCCACTTCTGATTATATTTTTTTCCTTTTCCCCCATTTTAGCACAACGCCGAGCTCAACAGGAGCAGGGTCAATGAGACGAGGACAAAAACCAAGGCGAAGTAAAAAAACAGTGCACAAATTCATCATTTTATAAATTAAAACAAATATAACTTATAAATTATATGTATTTTTAAATCTATGTAAATCAAAACATACAAACTAGTACATACTTAAAGCAAACCTGCATACATTCATATAATACACTTTAGTACTAAATTTGTAAAGAGAAAACATACACAAACACGAATAAAAAAGCGTGCAATAGAAATGCATGCAGAATTTTTTCTAATCAAATACTTAAATTTATATACAATATAAATGTACTATCTATATATATACTTACATACATAGATATATATATATTGTATAAAAAATAAAACAAATTTCTTTGAAATAATAATAAAAATAATAAAACTTTATTTTATTCTCTTTTCTGTCTTGATTTTGCTGTTATAACTTTATATTGATTCATCAATTCATTTTTTAATAATTGTTTAGTATAATTACAGTTCATACTGATATGTATATGTACATACATATGTATTTAAAATGAGATTGTACACATTGATTGATCCATCCACATCTCTTGTTTTTTTTTTATACAAAGCAGTATTTTCATTTACTTCTGTTTGCCTTATGTGAATGCCAAATATTTACCGCAATAAAATTAACCTTCACTCACTCGGTCAATGTATGTGTGCAAAATTTTATCAATTCGAAAATTAATTTTCCTTATGATCAAAGTTGGGGGACTCTGGCAAGGTATATATGTACAATGCGCCATGAGCACTCATTCAATGCATAGCAGCATTTCATCCAAAGTTAAGGTTTTAACTGACTTCCACCATGTAACCTTATATGCCAATTCCAAAAATTCTTTGCTTAATGAAACGTTGCGAAATTCGAAAACGATATTATGGAAAATTCATGCTTTAAATGTTTATATTCATTTAATTCGAAACAAAGCTTCTTAGCTTGCTGGCCGAGTTCATCCTGCATTTAATGCCGTGAATTGTAGTTACGCGATCTCAAACCGCCATTCGAATAGTTACCACTAGCAGTGCTATTATTACTATACCCCCCGACATTTCCACCACGATAGCCATTGCCGTAGCCAGACGCCGAGCCTGAACCAGAATTTCCACTCATGCCGCCGCCAGAGCTAAATACGTTTCCACCACCACGCCGCTTATATCCCATGCTGCTGCTACCACTATTACCATTTCCGCCACGTCCACCACGACTACGACCACCACTTGAGCCAGCACTTCGCGCTATATACTCTAATTCGGGATTGACATTTTGATTGGCCTCACGCAGTATATCAATCAAGGCTCGAGCACATTTGGCGTTCTTTCGTGTGAAAAATGCATATGATGTACCCGTGGAATGTTTGCGTCCGGTACGACCTATTCGATGGATATAGTCTTCGGACGATTGTGGAAAATCAAAGTTGATGACATACTTGATGCCGTCCACATCCAAACCTCGCGCGGCTACATCGGTTGCCACCAAGATATTTGCACGACCGCTACGAAACTCTGCCAAGACATTGTCACGATCGATCTGCGATTTATCGCCATGTATGGAGCCGACACGTACACCGAACCCATTGATAAAGCGCGATAGTTCATCAACTTTTTTCTTCGTTGCAACAAAAATTATAATTTTACCCGGCGAGTGCGACTGATCATATATGTGAGAGAGTAAATCTTTTAATTTTGCACCTTTATCATGCTCATTGCATACGTCCACATATTGTCGTATATTGTGATTGGCAGATAACTCCAATGAGCCTATGTTGACCTAAAATACACGTAGAATAAAATAAAATAAATTCTAGCGGTTTTCTTCAATTGGCATATATAACTATGTATGTACTTACCTGTATATATGATCCGAGGAAGTCTTCAGCAAGTTGTCGCACCTCTTTTGGCCATGTTGCACTCCACATAAGTATCTGTCTATCGGGCCTTATTTGTCCGAGAATTTTTCGTATTTGCGGCTCAAATCCCATATCCAACATTCGATCTGCTTCATCTAATACCAGATAAGTGCAGCGACGCAAATTTGTTACGCCATTTGATAGAAAATCTAGCAATCTACCGGGCGTAGCAATTACAATTTCAACACCGCGCTCTAAATCATTTGCTTGTTTCCCCTTTGGTGTACCGCCAAATATACAAGTGTTACGCACATAAACACTCGAGCCAAAATCATTTGCCACGGTTTGTATCTGCTGTGCCAATTCTCGCGTTGGTGCCAAAACTAACGCGATAGGTCCATCACCGCGTTGCAGTGGCGTTTGATTATTTATGTGTACTATAGCGGGTAGAATGAAAGCAAGAGTTTTTCCAGAACCAGTCTTAGCGATACCGACGAGATTGCTCCCGCTCATTGCGATTGGCCATGATTGTGCTTGTATTGGCGTTGGTTCCGTATATCGCTGATGTCTAATTTCGTGTAGGCAATAATCGGGGAAGCAAGCTTCGTCGAAGTACTGTATGGGATTGGGTGCTGGACCACGAACTGTTATCTGATGAGCGGCGCGATATCTTTCTACTTCTTGTGGAGGACGATTGCGGGTTTTTGAGTGTTCTTGGTAGAAGTTTTTCTGGAAGGGCGGCAGGCGCATGTCTGACCAATTTATGGTGCGTAGTCCTAAAAAAAAAAGTTATAATTTTAGGAGTAATACCAGATATTTTTTTAAAATAATTAAGCATACATCAATTTAAAGAGTTGTTACATTGTTTATTTTATGTATATTGAGTATTCTTTTTTTTTTCAAAATTTTATAAAAATTATAATTTTGAATTTTGTAAAGATTTCATCAGCCAAATCTTGTTGGTCTTAATACATAACAAAAACTAATAGTGGCTTAAAAAACAAACAATAACATGTAGTCAACTCACCGGCAAAATCATTGTTGCTGTTGCTACCACCTCCTACAGTGCCACCCCGACGACCACGATCATCAAACCGCTTCTCTACACGCCCGGAACGTATACCATCATCGCGTCCTCTGCCACCACCTCCACCACCTCTGCTTCGCCCACCATCTCGCATATTACTACCTCCGCCACTATTACCAGCACCTCCTCTACCGTTATCTCGGCGATTCCCAATCCGGGGTTGTGGCATTTTCTCAGTAAACAATAAAATATAAAGTTCTCACTGTCTTTTTACCCTTATTACGTTTCGTACTATTTTCAAATATAAATATATTGTGATATTTCGAGTTTCTAATTGGTATTATTTTTTTCCAAATTACTGATAAAAGTAGCAAAAACGCCGCAGAGAAAATTATTTGGCATTTTTTAGGATATGTCCGGAGAGTTAAAAAACAAAAATTTATGGTTCACAGTAGAAAACCTGAGACAACAAATTTTAATGTTTGCACATATCTAACTTAAAGTTCACTTTATAAAACTCATTTCTATTATTAATTATTTAATAATGTATGCAAAATAAATAGTATGAATTATCCTCGATATTCCCTAATTCGAAATAGATAATAACTTATCATTGCAAATGCAGCCATTAATAATCACAGTCATCTATTGTGAACAGTAAATAATTTCAGTAATAACAACCGGCTGATACAAAATTTATTATTTTTATTTTCAAAATATTCCCAACTTTATTACACGTGTGTAAGAAACTTATCAATTTTTTATAAAGCACAGATTTCTTAATTTTTAATTTTTTAGATTATCTACTTTACTATACAACACAATGTCAATAGATGAACTTAGTGGGTCAGAACTTGGAACTAAAACCTATTGGGATCGCAGCTACAATGAGGAAATTGCTAATTACAAAAATCATGGCGACGTCGGAACAATTTGGTTCGATGAGGATTCTCAGTTTCGTGTTATAAACTGGATTTTGAAACAGGAAACAATTTCAAGTGATGTCAGTATTATTGATATGGGATGCGGTAATGGCATGCTGTTAATTGAACTCGCCCGAGAAGGATTTTCCAATTTACTCGGAGTGGATTATTCAGAAAATGCTATTAAATTAGCCAAACAAATCGCTAAGGATCAAGAACTGAATATACTTTATCAATCCGCGGATTTGTTGAATACAAAACTTTGCCAACAGCAATTGGGCACTTTCTCAATTGTTCATGACAAGGGTACGTATGACGCTATCAGCTTATGTCCGGAAAATCCAAAAGAGAAACGCGAAGCGTATTTGTCTACAGTGAATAGCCTAATGAATGAAAATAGCTTATTTATTTTAACATCTTGCAATTGGACCGAAGATGAGCTCTTAATTAGTTTGGCAGATAAATTCATTAAAAAATGCTGCATTCCAACACCAACTTTTAAATTTGGAGGAAAAACAGGTAGCGTTGTTACATCTATGGTTTTTACAAAGAAAATAATTTAATAATAGTTTGAACCCAAAACTGAGTTTTAATATTATTTTAAAATATATTAATGAAGCTCGGGAACTCATCCTATCCAGACGTTCTGTAATATAGTGCTAAGGGAGCTCATTAGATAAAGTAATGGTAGTCTTGGCTTCCTTTAGATGTGATGTATCGAAAGATGCCATTACCATAAAATTCTAAAAAATATGGCTTACACAGCATGTTTCCTAGCTTGATTCTCTTGGCGGTATTCTAATTGGCCTGTAACTTCTGCAGCATCTTTGTAATCCCATTGTCGTTTTGTGCAGCCGGATAGAAACTTAAGCACTTTGTGGAAGTAATGTACTTTATAGTCGTTCGGATAAGTTTCCTAATAACTATGGGTAAGTTACAGTTCCAGCCGTTACTCCTTTGTCCAGTTGGTGAAAAGAGTCGTCGGGGATTCGAAAAAGCTAAGATTGATTGACAAACTGGCGAGGTCCTTCGCCCATAATTTCATTTTCTTTAACCTAAAGTATCTGCATTCTGCACTTCTTCATTTTGTTCTACAAATTAATGTGTACATAAATAAAGTAAAATGTTTGCATATTACAAAATAAATTCATTAAAAATTTTTTCTTCAACACTGCTATAATTCCCTTAAAATTAAACGAGATTTCTTTTGTTATTCCCTTTTCTCAACAAATACATCATTGGGTTAACGTTTAGAACCGGTTATCTCTTTCTGTCACGCCCTTAGCCGGCAAATAAGCATATTGGTTATCTCTTTTGGATGTGTGTAATGTAGTGCTGTAAAGTTATTGAAACTTAGAAGCAAAATACAATTTATTCATTTTAATTCCAAATATGTAATTTACGGAAATACTACAAGTATTGAAAATAAGTGCATTTACTTATTAAGTATTTAAACATATGTGTTATATTAAATAATGATTTCAATTCGATGATAATAAGCAAAAGCAGTGTTTATTATTCTGCAATGCAACCTTCCCAATAAATGACGTCACTTGACACCTTTTTAATTTTGACATTTATTCGTATTCGTAATCGTTTCGCAGCTTCGCAGCTACTGGCTGTCAAACCGAAGTAAAATTTCACGGGCGGTGGTGTGTTCGTTTTCTGTGCAAACGTGGATCGGACGAAGCAGAAGCAGATAGGTGGACGTCGAGTTCAAACAGAAGAAACTATTTTCCCGTTTTCAATTATACTTTAATTGCGGAAAGCAAGAAAGAAGTTTTTTAAATAGCGTATAAGCTATAAATTATCAGTGCATAAACACCCGCTATAAAAACTAAGTGAAAATCTTGGAAAATGAGTGGACCAGCAGCGTCAGCTCCAGCCACGGCGACAAATAAGGATGGTGATTCCGCGTCGTCGGCACCAAAACGACGTGGTATTGTGAAGCAGGTTTGTATAAATATGTACGCTATTAACTCTGAAATTGGAAATCTTTTGGAGAGTTTGTACAAAATTCGTTTTTTAAAGTTTTTGAACATCAAAGGGTCGTCAAGAAAAATTGAATTGAGGCAGCGTGCTGGCGACAAAGGTTTACGCCGGCAGAGCAGCTTTAAATATGTGTGCGAGTGAGATATACTTATAGTAATTTGAAAGTGAGTAAGCAGTACAATCATAGCATAGTACGTAAAATGAAAGTTCAATGGAGGTGCCAACTTGGCAGATTTCTAAAGAGGCTGACTGCTGGTATTTTTCTTCTTATATGCATTTATAATGAATGAATACCAAGATATTATTCGGTAGCGTCCTCAGAAAAAGTTTTTTCAAGTATTTCTAATAATTTTGGGGCCTTCTGTGTATGGGCTGTATTGCCGGCCAATTCCTCAATTATATTTACTTAAGCATAGAACTGCCGACGTGAGCGTCGAAGCTTTTAGCATGAGCGTCGCAAAGACAGATGTCAGCATTTGCCTGTTCGCCGCTTTTGGATTTTGGAATTTCGTTCATAACCTCACTTTCACATTAAAATGTCTGCCACACATACATAATTTTACAAGTAGCAGGACTCTATATTTGCCAACGTGTTCTATTGCTTGTATTGAATTAGCTGCAAAGATGAATTCTTTTTAAATGCTATTAGTATAACGGCTTTCATGGATATGTAGATTCGTGTCTCATAAAATGGTTAATGAAATGTTCTTTTTGTTTATTAGAAAACGACCTACATAATTATTTATTGCAAATACTGTACCAGAAGAGAATTTGAAATTGAATTTCCTGGAGAACTTTTTGAAGTTTTCCTTAACTCTTAACATTTCTTGTTTACTACACTTACATATTTCGCTTATCCTGTATAAGACTACAGTCGGAGCAGGAATGTATTTAAATTTCTTGTGCATATGTTTGATGTATTACTCAAAATTATTATTAGAAATAGAAGGGAATTGTTTAGTTGACAAGAGTGCATTAAACATTAATTTTTTATATTAACAGTTGTTCTATAAAAAAAATTGGGCTATTGGAATTTGGGATATTCATAAAATAAAACGTACTGTCTTCAGACAAAAAAAAATCTATACAAAGTCATGTTTTGTTTGGTTTTATTTGGTACTTACCACAACTACTTTTTCTGGTAAACAAATGTCTAAAATCTGCGGTTGCAATGGCGTTAATACCATTTTATTTTATAGCTTTGGCATTTCTCAATAAAAGTTTTGGCCCATATAACAACAATATTTATCAAATACATTCTTGTATTATCCTTTCATATTTTGAAAATAATTTGATAAAGCTCTTCCTAAAAAACTAACGATATATGTTCTCGTTCTCTTCTTGATACACAAAAATATTACTTTTTTTTAATCCTGGAGGTCTCATAGCCCTTCATGCCTTGAAAATACTAAAAAAATTGATTTCTAGGGCGGGCAATGGCTTGAAAGGGTAAAATAAATGTATGTACAAATAGATCTGTAAGAATTAATCAAATATTTTAATATTTTTTAATGTTATTAGCTTATCACTTGAGATAGAAGTTGTAATCTTATCTGCACCAGTAGATACAATTAAAATAAATTCATAAGATTTAAACGAGTCTACTGCGGACCTCTCAATAGTTTTACAAACTTGCAACTGCTCTGTGGATCACACATTTTGAACAGTAGATGGCGCAAAGTGTCTGCTATTTTTTTTTTTGCAGCAAACTTTGCTTATTCCGTCCCCAACACGTGGGGATCAGTATAATACATATTTTTGCAAAGGAAATTGTTTCTTTTATTTCGTAATCGTAGACATTAACTGAGCATATAACATGTAATATTTGTACATATTTTCGAAATTGAACTGTATTTTGAAATAACTGTTTCTACTTAAAAAGCTTAATAAATTATAATTTTATTATCAACAGGTTCTTTCTGGCGATACTGTAGTTATTCGTGCGTTAAAGGGTGCACCTCCACCGGAAAAACAAATAACTTTCTCGTATGTTCTGGCTCCCAAGTTAGCTCGCCGTCCCGGTGCTGGTGGCGATGAAACTAAGGATGAACCCTGGGCTTGGGACTCTCGTGAATTTCTACGTAAGAAACTCATTGGTGAAGAAGTTTTATTTTCATTTGAGAAACCTGCCAACTCTAATCGCGAATATGGCATTGTTTGGGTCGGCAAGGATGCCGAAACAGGTGAGAATGTGGTTGAAACAATGGTACGTGAAGGTTACGTAACTGTTCGTCGTGAGGGCAGACCATCCAGCGAATTACAACGTCTAATTGAATTGGAGGACCAAGCCAAGAGTGCAAATCGTGGCAAATGGTCACATGTGCCCCCTGTTGAGAAAGTACGCCACATTAAGTGGACACAAGAGAATCCCGCACATGTTGTTGAGTATTATGGCGGAAAGCCTGTAAAAGCAATTATCGAACATGTTCGTGATGGTTCCACGGTTCGTGCCTTCCTCCTGCCAGACTTTCAATATGTAACGTTGATGATTGCCGGTATACGCTGCCCAGGTGTGAAACTTGATGCCGATGGCAAGCCAGATTTGAGTGTGAAAATTCCCTTTGCCGATGAAGCACGTTTCTACGTAGAATCACGTCTTTTACAACGTGAAGTAGAAATACGCCTGGAGTCTGTAAACAATTCCAACTTCATTGGTACAATACTTTTCCCAAAAGGAAATATTGCCGAATCATTGCTGCGTGAGGGCTTGGCTAAATGTGTCGACTGGTCTATGGCCGTAATGAAGGGTGGTAAGTTGTCCTTTAATCACTCAATGTTTATATTCAAGTCTCATTTTTAAATTATTGTAATTGAATTGTATTTGTAAACTATTGGATAAGAGTAAGTAATAAGGGACAGTTTCAGGGTGCTTTCGTCCATTCCACAATGACCTAAGCATTAGTTACCCTGCCCATAATGGCTCTTATTTTACTTGTTGCTTAAGAATATTTGGCAAATTCGCATCTGATTGTGTTACTTAAGCATCATTTTGCAATGACATTGAAATGCTTTCGTTTAACTCAATTGTATGCGATATTAAAGACGGACTCCAAGATTTTGATACTTTAAATATTTAAGTAACAAGATCATTTCACCCCGTCGACATGTGTACACCTTTGATAGTTTAGAGCTATAATTTATGTTGAATATTTTTCTGTAGTACTTAGTAATTAAATTAAACCTTTGTCTCTTAACTTTTTAGGTGCAGAAAAATTGCGTGCCGCTGAGCGCACTGCCAAGGAGAAACGCCTGCGATTATGGCACGATTATCAATCAAAGGCACCCACTGTTAATGCCAAGGAGAAAGATTTCACTGGCACCGTTGCAGAAGTCTTCAATGGTGATGCGATTAGTGTACGTCTGTCCAATGGTCAAGTGAAGAAGGTATTCTTTTCATCGATTCGTCCACCACGTGACACCCGCTCGGTAGTTGGCGCTGATGGTGAAGTTGGTTTACCACCACGCGGTAAAAATTACCGCCCCCTGTATGAGATTCCATTTATGTTTGAAGCACGTGAATTTTTGAGAAAGAAATTAATCAACAAAAAAGTACAATGTAATTTGGATTACATTTCGCCAGCACGTGACAATTTCCCGGAGAAATACTGTTACACTGTTCTCATTGGTGGACAGAATGTTGCTGAAGCTATGGTCGCAAAAGGCCTGGCCAACTGCGTACGCCATCGTCAAGATGATGATCAACGCTCCTCAGTTTATGATCAACTTTTGGCTGCTGAAAGTCAAGCAATTAAGGGTCAGAAGGGCATGTTTGGCAAAAAGGATAATGTGCCATTGCGTATTAATGATTTGACCGTCGATCATTCCCGCATCAAGGTGCAGTACCTTCCTTCTTGGCAACGTGCCTTACGTACCGAAGCGATTGTTGAGTTTGTCGCTAGTGGTTCCCGTCTGCGTTTGTATATACCGAAGGATAGTTGTCTTGTGACATTCCTATTGGCTGGCATCTCATGTCCGCGTTCTTCACGTCCCGCTTTGAGCTCCCCACATGTTCCAGCACAAGAGGGCGAACCTTATGGCGAAGAGGCATTAGCATTTACCCGCGATCGTGTGCTTCAACGAGATGTATCGGTGCATATTGACACCACCGATAAGGCTGGTTCTTCTGTTATTGGTTGGCTATGGACAGACAATAATGTGAATTTGTCAGTTGCATTGGTTGAGGAAGGTCTCGCTGAGGTACATTTCAGTGCCGAGAAGACTGAATATTATCGTCAACTAAAGAATGCCGAAGATCGTGCTAAGGCTGCCAAGAAGAATATTTGGGCTAATTATGTGGAGCAAGTAGTTGAGGAAAAACCCGTCGTTGTTGAGGAAGAAAAAGACGAAAAAGCACCTGTGGAACGTAAAGTTAACTACGAGGATGTTATTGTAACTGAGATTACTGCCGACCTAACTTTCTTTGCGCAAGCAGTCGAGAACGGCGGCAAATTGGAAGCAATGATGGCGAAATTACACGCAGATTTCCAAGCGAATCCACCAATTGTGGGTGCCTACACGCCAAAGCGCGGTGATATATGCGCAGCACAGTTTTCCGCCGACAATCAATGGTACCGCGCCAAGGTGGAGCGTGTGCAAGGCAACAACGCTACCGTGCTATATATCGACTACGGCAACAAGGAGGTGAGTTTAAACTTTTTTTTTTATTTTTGCTTATGGCTTATATTATATGCAAGCTCCTTAGATCCGTTACCGGTTAAAAGTGTAACGCATGAGTCATAAGCTTGCTAGATCAAATAGCGAAAGAATCGGGCGTGCCTGTAAGGCTTCGCACCTTGTTTGATCATTGCTTGTCATGAGCATAAACTCCATCGTCAATTACACTGTTGCGATATATAATTGGATTGCCAGACATGGTCGATAGTGTAGGATCAATATTTTTTTGTTTCACAACACTGTGACACCGTGAAAAGCGAAATAATTTAAACGCAACAGTGGATGATCGAGGGTCATATTATTTGTGCTGCCAGCCCGATTCTAAAGCAACAAATTAAAACTTTTTACATATACATATCTTCCGGTGATTAAACGCTTTTTGGCTTACAAAAAATTTTCACTTCATGTTTTTAGACCGTGCCTACAAGCCGCTTAGCATCCCTGCCAACTGGTTTCACCAGCGACAGACCGTATGCCACCGAGTATGCACTTGCTTTGATTCAACTTCCCTCCGATGACGAGGATAAGGAAGAAGCCCTACGTATATTTGCCGAGGATGTGCTCAATCGCAATGTTAAATTGAATGTTGAATTGAAACCTGCAACTGGGCCCGCATTAGCAACGGTGCATGACCCTGCCACCAATGTTGACATTGGTAAACAATTGGTAGCTGATGGTTATGTGTTAGCTGAGAAACGCCGCGAACGCAAATTAAAGGACTTGGTGGAGCAGTATAGAGCCGCTCAACAAGCTGCTCTGGCTGCACATTTGGTCATTTGGAAATATGGCGACATCACACGCGATGATGCGCCTGAATTTAGCCGCTAAAACGGAAGTGCGCGATAGCGTTTTTAATGTTTGTCTGCCACATACCCGCCCTACAAAAATAACAACAACATTCATAGCTACATACATACATACGTGAAAATAATGCAAATATGAAACTGAGGTATAGTAAGAAAAAAGGAAAAGAAAAAAATTTCATCAAAATGACGAGGATTGATTTATAGAACGGACATACTCTCAAAAAGAGCAGTAAAAAAGAAAATAATAATGAACCGAAAGCAGAGATTCTTCTACGTAGTATATTAAATGCCAAGTAATTGCGGTACAACAATAACTTCAAAGAACATTTATCAACATGAAAATGGATGCATATGATTCGAGCGAAATAAAATGTCCACATAATTAATCTTCGCATATAAATACATACTTCCATGGCCACCAAATTGTAAAACAAATAAATAAAATCCAAAATTTTTTATGACATCAATTGTTCTATTATATGCCTAAAAATTAAATAATCCTAAAGCTTCCCTAATTGGAATTGAATCATATATAAAAGAAAAAAAAAAAGAGAAAAACTTTTGAAATGCAAACTCATTGCTACGCACTTACGTATTATTGCTTCTGTATGCTGTTAAACAAAAAACTAAAATAGCGAGCATTTCCAACTTCAACTACAAACAAACAAACAAAAATTAAATTTTTATTGATATATTTTTTTCTTTACTATAATTTTTTTTTATTAAAAAATGAGAACATGCTTTTTATGAATTCAATTCAGTGTTTTTCTAATTGATAAACTATAAAATAATAAATTGAAATTACAGCCAATCAATATAGATTGATCATATTAGTAAATGGAAAACCTCAAGGGTTGAGGGTTGAGAATATACGGTTAAAGAACAATTTTTTAGGTGCTCAGAATGTGTATTTTGAGCATGTATGTGTATATTCATCCTATTAGTTTCAGTGAAATAGGCCGGAAAAAACCCTACATTGACTTGAACTTGAGTGCAACCCAAGGGAAGTGTGCGAAGAGGTAGCTCTAAAAATCGCAGTTTGTCTCTAAAGTTTATACCACAAAAAAATTGGTGTTGTATAGTGAAAACATTTGGTAATTTATAAAAAAAAACACTTTATTGCCATTTACATTTATCACATTTTAGCTTTACGCCCAAGAACAACTTTCGACCGTCATAACTCGTTGACATCTCCTTTTGAACAAATTGAATTATGGACCCATAGGCCTTATGCCAATTGCATTCATTGCTTTTCTGTTGATTTATTAACCTATAATGAAAAATAAAAAATATTTGCATCTACACTATATATGTATGTATATCTGTACAAACTTGCAGAGAAACATCAACGCCGAGTAAAGTCGATCAATTTTATCTGCTTTGACCATAGCGGCTGCATGCTTAGACACTAAATGAGTATCAACTACTTCTGGCACATTAGAACTTTTCAACCAATCCAAAAGTAAATATTCGCATTTCGGTTCCATGAATATATTCTTAAGTGAATCATCTGTTTCACATGTTAATCTCTGGTTGCTTTTAGTACGGCCATGTGATTTTCCAAAATTTTGTTCGATTTCTTGGCGTAATTCTGGCGGCAATGCGTCTAAAAATTCAGGATCAATTTGATTCAGCATTACTTCCGATGTAGCTTCGTATTTAACAGTTGGTTGAGCAAAATTTTCTTTAATTTCGTTACGTAATTCTGGTGGCAATGCATCCAGAAATTCCTGCTCAATATTTTGTGGAATTGTTTTCAACTCGATGTTATTTAAGTTTACTTGACTTTTTTGTTTGTTTAGCATCTTTTTTTGCAGTTGCTTTTGTTGATTTCTGAATGCAGCGGCTTTAGATGTGGATGGTTGCAGGTCACTTTCATTTAGCGTACTTACGTTATTTGAAGATTGAGACGGAGGTAGCATAATTGTTGGAGCTGATCCTTGGTTCTGTGGTTGTGCAGTGACTAAAGCTGAACCTTGTTTTGGATCTTTATAGGCATGCAGTACTTCGTTACGAATGTCTGGTGGTAATGCCGCAAAAACTTCTGGGTCTATATCTTTTGGCAAGGGATTACCATTACATTTTAAATTATTTAGAGATACTGCTTGTTTTGTAGCAGCTTTTTTGAAAAGGTTTAAAATATTTGGTTCATTTTTTGATTTTGCATCCAGGGTATTGTTGTCCCCAATTTTATCCCGACTACGTTTTCCTACATTTTTAATATGTTTTTCTGGCTTTTTAACGTTTAGCGTTGAGTTACAATTTAATAGTACATTGGGTTCCTCAATTTGAATTGCGACATCCCCGTTACTATCCTCAGCCGATTTAGTAGCTCTTTCTAAATATTAAATTTTTGAAGTGAACTCGAAGCTCAATATTACGTTTTAACCATTTACCTTTTTTCTTGTCTGCAACTTTGTTAAACAAATTCATTATGACGTTCTCTTTTCGTTCTTTACCCTCGTTGGGATCATTTAGTTTGGAAAGCTGAATACCGATGCCACGTAATTCATTTGGTGGTACTGTCATAGCCTTCATAGTCGCCAATACGGTACGTGTGATCACTTCTAACTCACAAGTATATCCTGACAATGTTACTGATTTTGTTAGATGATCACATACACCGTGGCCCATAAATTTCGACGCCTCAATTGGCGCATCTTTGGCTCGCACCATTAATTTTAATGTGACACATTTCGTCTGTCGTTTGATATCGCTTAGACGAGTATGTACTTCCGTGCATAATTGACGGAGAAATGTTTCTAATTCAGAGAACTCTTTAAAACGAATACCGTAATTGACTTCCGCTGATACAGATTTACGTATCTGAAAGAGATAATTATTGAGAGTTTTGGAACTTTGTTTTTAAATATGTATTTTCAACTATTTATATAATATTCTACCTGACCATAAAGCAGCGAACGATTATCGATGCCACGACTGAACTGATAAAGGGTCTCGCCAAACTTCTTGCCAACATGCATTTGTAATTTTAACAATGAAATCTTTTGGAGATCTCCACACGTAATCAAATTGTTCTGTTCTAAAGTATAAGCTGTACTACTTCCTACGCCTGGTAACTCATCAATTTTAATATCAGCCATGTACTTCTGTGCAACTTCTGGAAACAACTGATATTGACCATCTGGCTTGGCACGTTTTGTGGCCATACGTGCTTGCAATCTGTACTAAAAGGATTTGTGCAAAATCTGCATACATGAATTACAGCTTACTACTTCAAAACTTACTTGTTTCCTCCTACACCCGCGGAGCATGGGCAACCAGTTTTTAAACGCACTTCTTCCCGTACAGCAAGCACAAACTCCATTGGCTCGATATGTATCTCATTTAATATATCCGTTAAATCAACAAACATTTCATCGCAACTGACGGCCTCGATATCTAACGTATATTGTGCTATGGTGTCGTATAGGGTATATGCTACTTCACGATACCCCTCAAAGTCATAAGGTATTGTTTTTAATTCAGGACATAAATTTAAAGCTTGTCCCACAAACATGCCATTTCTTATACCTTTGGCACGTGCCTCATAGCTGCACGAAGCGATTTCCGAAAGTGACATTTTAGCTTCAAAACCACCTCGTACTTTCTCGGAAAGTATATTGTTATGTAAATGTTCTTCAAAACGTTTTGCAAATAGTTCCATTTCTATCTTGCGATCAGCAGAAGGATGGACGGGCACGGAAGTGGCATTTGTTCCCCCTGCAAGGAGTAAGAATATAATCAATGTAATCTATATTTATATTTTGAAATATAATACTGAAAATTATAAATTTTTTTATATTATTAATTAATTAAATTATATTTTAAGTGATAAATAAAACCTTTTGAATGTGTTACAGCAACCGGTTGATCCTTTAACTCAGGATGTTTCCGCAGCCCCACTGATACAAAAAAGCAGTCCATATCAATGTGCATAATCCATGTTGCGGAAGGTTTATTATTGCTAACTGATGAACGAACACTTAGCCGATCTTTTAGTGTTGCACGAGCTGGAAAACCTTTTGTTCCATGTTGTTCGCGCAGATCCGATACGTATTTTTTAAAACCAGTACCTAGTGTTGCGATATGGTGTAATCTTGAATTATTATAGAACTCTGTAAGGAATCTTGGATCTACAGCAGTTCGCGCTAAGTCTTTACAATTTGTGTTGTCACTTTCAATTACATTTGTTGCATCGGTTTTGATTAAAGACTCTTCCTTTTGTGTGTCATTGCAATTATCCTTTAGTGACACCTCACCTTCATGTTCAAGCATCTTGTGTTTCTTAAAGAATAAGCCTGGTTGTGTTACTTTTTGATTCGTATATAATAAATAGCGTGTGTGATCCAGCAGACGCGTTTCTTTTATGCAATCGACAACCCATTGAGGACTTATTATTTTACTTGTATTCATGTTTCGAACTTTTACATCAGGTAAATTGGACGCTATAATATAGGTTGTATGCGAACGTTCGTAATGATGAAAAGTACCTCCATACACCATCATCATCCGCTTCAACTCATCCGCTGACGGATTAGTGAGACCGTTTACATAAATGGATATGCCAGAGAATAAATTTGATTTTTTGTAAGGATTGCTAGCCGCGGAAAACTGCTCTTCGAGCTTCGTTATCTTGGCCTCCATATAACCACCCTGAATAAGGAAAACTAATTATCCTCAGCAAAAATAAGTTTATGATAAAACAATCTGACTTACCCATTGTTCAAATCCATTGGAATTCATAACAGCAAAGAATCAAGAAGTTTTTAAAGAATTTACACTCTGTTCAAAACTTTGAAATATTGCGCTAATTTGATTACAATCGTTGACTAAATCATATGTTTACGGCGGCGATTTTTAAAGTATATTCCCAACTATCGCTGATATCAAAATCAATTTAATCATTTTCAATGAAAATAACACCTCTCAAAAATATATATTTCGAATAAAGAATTCCAAGAATGCAGAAAATACCTTATTCATCTAAAATGGAACTCGATAGTAATATAAAAACATTAGGTTGATTGCTATGCGTTTTATGTAAAAATATGTTATTAATTTCGCGAGATAAAAAATTATAGTATGGTATGGTAGCAATTAGAATTTTATATTTCGCTAAGGCGAATTCCATTTAAATTCGCCTAGTCCGCCGACTTATCAAATTACTTTGTTATCATCCCGAAATTGCGGATATACAACAAAGAGTGAATTGTTTGGGTCGTTTGTTTACTAGCCACTCAGACTTTATTTTTATATTTTTATTACATTATTAATCTATAAATACGAAAAGGAATGGATACTTCTGACGAAAATTACTTAGTGTGTCAGGCACAAAAGCTTAAAGACACCGATGCCCCTGCAGCCAAGGCATGGTTAATTACAGCAAAAACATTGTATCCAAAAAACTTTAATCTTATGGTAAGAACTGAATCAATTTAATAAAAGTTTTCCAAATCATTATGTGTTTCCTTGTTAACAGTTTGAAGCGTACAAACTAGAGAAAGAGGCCAACAATTTTGAGGAAGCTGCTAAATGCTTCAGCAACATGTAAGTATGTATGATATTTGTTTGTCGATATAAATTTATGTTTTAATTCTCTTAGGGCATTGACATTTAAAAGCCAAAATGTCGAGCTGTGGAATGAAATAAATGAACTAACAAACGCACTTCGGGCTCCAGAAAATGAAATCACGCCATTGCAAGAGTTCTATGTGAAAATGTTTCAGCATGTGTCATACGATGTGCAGCATAAAATATTACTGCTCACAGTTAATAACACAGAAAACAGTATCCATCAGTGCAAATTATTGCTTCTAATATTAAAACGTTTTCCACAAGCAGCCATTACACATTCAGTAAGATTTAATTTGATATTTAAATAATAACAAAATCTTAAATTCTTCCCATTACAGCCGCGACTACTAGAAATGATAGCTGATGGTATGAAACAAGATCCCCAAAAATACCAAGAAATGCTTGTAGAAGAAGCTTTGCCATTAATATATCACAAAACTCCGGAATTGTCTCCAGTTCTTGTCTGCCGATTATTTACGATCTCATTGGAATATTATATACGTCAAATAATTGATGATGAAGTTAAATGCGACACCAATGAAATATGGAAGAAGATATTTCAGGTTTTAATGCTATGTGGTAAAATTTTACGTTGGGAAACATTTTTACCTTTTAATAAAACGTGGGGTCAAAATGTGTATTGGGATAAACTTATCGAAATAGTATCCATAAGTGCTGCCGGCAGTACTCAAGTTCTTTTCTATGCTACAAGTTTATTTATTTACTCACTTCACTGCTATATTAAAAATTGTTATGGTAGAGCCGATGATACTGAAATCAATCACGTTTTGGTAGAAGGATTCACAGGTAATCCCGATTATTTTGTTTCTCTTCATTTTTTCTTTATTGTTTACTAATAATTTTCAGCCGAGTGGAATGTGGAATCTTCAGATGTACAAAGTATGGAACCTCCACAAATTTCTTTAACTACACCAACAAGTAAGGATATATCTAAAGCATTTGTTCATGCGGCGCAATGTTGGCAACTTTTGAATACGGATCAATTTCAGCGCGATTTTAGCAAATTACTGCTTACGTTACCTCTGGCACCATGGATATCGCGATTCCTCTTCGATTTGGCTATATATTTCGGTCATAAAGAGGAAGCCAAAAAATTGATGTCTGAAATGATGGTCTCTAGCAGTTTGATACATAATTTGCAGTTATTAAGTCTAAATTTGTTGCAAGGAAATATGACGGTAAGGTATTTTACACCTTGTCTTAAACCATATTATATTTTCATTCATGTAGATAAAGGGGTATGGATATATTAAAGACATTATTGATGAGCTACCGACAACAACAGGACATATATTAGATCATTTAACCCTCAAAGTCCCGCGTCACATGATATTTATACCATTGACACAAAAGGCGTTAGTACAGTATTGTACGAAGGCTATATTGAATACCTTAAGTGTGAGTTTTATAGAATAATATTAAAAACTACTAATATTATCTTCATATTTTTACAGCGGAAGCTTTACGAACCTAATTGCCCTGATCAAATACTTGGTAATTTATTGGTACTATTACAACTAGAATATCCACGTGAAACGATTATGGCAGAACAAATATTTGCACTTATAACAACGCGACGGGCTTTTTCTTATCATTTATTTACTACGTACATAGTAACAATCGATTTCGTCGAAGAATTTATGCATATCTGGCATACACATAACGAAGACTTCGCTTTTGATTTGTCGCCTACGCAAGCGGATAGCCGCGTAGGCACACGTGGCACAGAAAAGGGTGTCCGAGAGGACTTCCGTATAATTATTAAGCAACAAATAGCTAAAGCAAATGAGCCCCTTGTCCCATTAATAGCAAATTTCATAAAACAGGAATATATGCATTTAATGGGAAGCATGTTTGCCGGTGCAATTAATTACTAAACTTTTTATTTTTATATCTTATTTTACTTTATTTCTCTCCTTTTTTTTGGACGAGTTACAACTTTAAATAGTGAAATACATTTAAACAATAAATAAATAAAACACAACGAAAGTACTAGTGTATAGTTAAAAATGACTGTGCTATTCGTAAAACAAATAAATAATTAAAGTAAGCTTTGTATATCATTGCTGAGTAGACAAACATTCAAACTCGTTTATTTATACTGAGGCAGTTGTTTAATGATATGTTTCTTGGCATAAACAGCAAAAAAAAAAAAATGTTCTATAACATCCTTATAACTAATATACGTATTTTTACCTACAATTCAATTGTAGAAAAGCCTCACCGAAAATTTTTATTGAATCTACATATAACATATCTGACTAAAAATAATATATCACAAATTAAATTAAAACAGAAAATTTCACCTCAATAATCGTGCTTCATATACGAAAGGAATATATTGTAAAGTGCTGTACACACATTTACGAACAATACTCGATATTTAGTATCTAAATATCTAAAATTCAGGAACTGCACTACAGGCCAAACCGTCCAGTCTGTCATATAAATAACGGGAAACTTTTCACATAGCTCCTTGTTAGTATCTTGTATAGATCGCTGCTCTAAATAGCAGGCCGTATAAAAGAATATTAAAATGCAAGTTGGCGACATAAATAATTGATCTAACAATATTTTTCGAAATGTGTTTTTTAAATTAGCAACTGGCATCACGTAATCCATCCACTTGTAGACGAAGTGATGAAGCGGTCCTTGTAATGATCCTACCACGAACATTCGGAAAATTCGTTTTTTATCATAGCGTTCTCGTTTAATATCAAATTCATCTGATTCGGTGTCGCGACGACGATATTCAATCTCTTGTGCAACCATATCTCCAAACACCATTAATATGCCCGAGCTTAGTATATTTGTAGCTAAAAGATATTTGCCAAAGATCTTATTCCATATACGTGAATTCACAGTTGCATCAGCACTTCCATTACGTTTTTGGTAGTATTCACGATACGACGGGAATGGTGCGAGCCGGGTCCTGCATAACTGAGGTACTTTGCGAGAACTTACATCTAGATGTGACCTTTGTGCTAATAACACCAACGGACGTCTTTGTGCTATTCGGGCAAACATTGCGCTCGTCCAATTGTATTTGTAACTTGAGAAATAAAGCTAAATAGGTATCTATTTTATCTAATTTACATTTTTGTCACAAGGCTTTATACCACTCTATCTTCAGCGATTAACGTTCTATGAGTTATTGAAATAAGGCAATCAGCTGATTGTCAAAATATAAGTTTGATGGCCTCAAAAGTTTAAAGACAGGGTGTTCTAAAAATTAAAAAAAAGATTGTTGTACCATTTTATACGGAGACAATTCGTTGTATTAGAAGTTAATAGAAACTTAGAAGATTAAAAACCAATACCCAGTTTTAGCTCAATTTATATTGAAATAGTGGAATACGTTTTTGTGACGTTGATTTTTTAAATTTTTTTAATAATTTAGTTAAAAATATGTAGTGAATTTTGTGCTAATTGGGGTCATCGTCTTCCTATATTAATCGAGAACATAAAATTAAAAGTGGTGAAAATTGACAAAAAAACCAGATTAGTTACCGAATCACTTCGTCAATGAAGGCTATATCCTCTCCATTTGTATTAAGGAGTTCAATTTTTTCATGAATTAATGGCAATAGTAATCTCCTTTTTATGAAACTTTCGTAATATGTATGTGCCAATCAATTCAAAATTTATTTGGTGAAAGAAAACTTCAGTTATAAATTATTTTAGATGTAACAAGCAATATGTCAAATTTGTTATATTTGTCTGGGTCTGGCCTATAGACAAAAATTTTTATTCACTATTTTATAATCGCCTAAAGATTTCTCTCTTGCGTATTATCTAGCAGTTCTTATTTTCAGAATGTTAGTTTCTAATTGATCTGATACAAAACGGTTTGATTTCACAAATTGTGAAATAATTTATTTTCAGCAATATTCTTAAATAGGAGTTGGCAACCATATATCAACTTTCAATGCTTCGTGTTCGCATCGTCTGGATTCTTTTTACACAATTCCACCGTCGCGAAAAGAGCAACGTGTGTAATAAAGCTATTTGTGTGATTTGATAGCGTTTTTTATACAAAAGAACTTTTGATTTTTTGAGTTTCGCAGATAAATCTGCTTCACTAAATTACAATTTTCAATAATAAACGTAAATTGTATTTTACGCGCAGTTTTCTTACATCCAAAGGATAACTAGATTTTGGTTCCGTTTTCAATCCATATTAAGCGAGAAAAATGGCCGAAGTCGAAAAAGAAGTACCAGAGAAGACTATTGCTGAAGATTTGGTGGTAACCAAATATAAATTGGCCGGTGAAATAGTCAACAGTGAGTATATAGCTATATAGACAATAATACAAAATTATCAGCACCTGTAGAAATTAAATTAAATTTGGATTTGCATAATTAATACATCAGAGCATAAAATACGCGTAAATAAAAAAGTAAGAATTCGCTGTGATGTAGGTACAAAGAAGTTGGCAGAGCAAGCCACGCGGCGCGTAAAGCACTGCAGTCCCAATTGAACATAACCTATAAAAGTAGCAAACAAAACGATTGGTTATTTTCCAATGAAAATCTTTATAATTTGTCATATTTATCAACTTCAAACATATTTTTATTATTGTTTCTAAAAAAAAGTACATATTATTTATTAAAAAAAAAAAAGGTTTCACTTTTTGTGTACAGAGAACCGGTTGGAATAAATTGCCACGCATTTATATATTTTTTTTTATTGGTTTTTCCTAACTAAATTTTGTCACTTTTGCTATAAGTTTTTAGTATAAGGTACTTGCTAATTTTATGTATTCAAATTTTATCGTTGTATAGAATACCAAGAAAATATTAATATTCTAAATGCTTTCCGATTTGGTCAATAAATGTTTTTTTTTCTGCATGTTTACAGAAACATTGAAGGCTGTTATTGATCTCTGTGTAGCCGAAGCGTCTGTGCGTGACATCTGCACTAAGGGTGACAACCTCATTACCGATGAAACTAGCAAAGTAAGAATTATAATTCATTTTTTTTTTTTATATTGTTCAATGATTAAAAATAAGCGCTTGAGAGTTCCTCATTATCATCTATGTGGAAAATTGCAGTAATTCATCTGAATTACCCCATCAAGTTATCAAAATGTTATACCTGTTTGGCGCATTTTCAACACTGGTGTTATTGATGCTCAAAGATTATAAGATTATGAGATCTGAGAACAAATAATATGTACTATCCATTGTGGCAATAAAGGACAGTACCTATTGATCAGTTATTTCTTTCCTTATAGGTACACAAGAAAGAAAAAGATTTGAAAAAAGGTATTGCATTCCCAACTTGTTTGTCAGTGAACAACTGCGTTTGTCATTTCTCTCCTTCGAAGAATGATAGTGACTACACGCTCAAGGAAGGTGATGTGGTTAAAATGTAAGTTATATATCCGCAGATATTCGTACGAAAATGTGGATAAATTATAAGCTGCATTACCGAACTAATCAATTATTATTCCTTTTTAAGTGATCTTGGTGCACACATAGACGGTTTTATTGCCGTAGCGGCACATACAGTAGTTATTGGTGCCTCCAATGATAAAAAGGTGACTGGACGTCAAGCTGATGTCGTTTTAGCTGCATACTGGGCAGTGCAAGCGGCATTACGGTTATTAAAGGCGGGCAACAGCGTAAGTGTTTAAAACAAATGATGTGAAATTTTTATTAACTATTCCATGCAAGCAAAATTGTATCTACGGTTTTACTACTTTAGCAAAATCTTAAATTTTGTTTGCAAAAGAAAACATGTTGAGCCACAATGGTGTAATGCCAATAATATGCATTCCTCCCTAATTATCTTCAAACAAAATAATTTTATTTATTAATATCTCTTAAATTGCAAGTAAACGGATTGTTCCTTGTTTATAAATACAAGTGTTCATCTCAACGCTTGCATAAATAAATATTTACAGTTCACCATGAAAAGTTCGCGTTGCTGGAACTTTTCGTTTTCGACTGTAAACAAGTATTTAATATTTTTAAGGTAATATAAAGAAAAATAAATATGTATATTATACTCTTACCAAATTACATAAGTTATTACATTTTTCTTTATCAAAATTCAAACACCTACACACTATTTAGATATATCGTAATTAATAGTAATTAATTGTTTGTTTACTAATCGTAGAATTACACGATCACTGACGCTGTGCAACAAATCAGCGAATCGTACAAATGTAAACCAATCGAGGGTATGCTTAGTCATGAGTTGAAACAATTTAAAATCGATGGTGAAAAGACTATCATACAAAATCCTAATGAAAGTCAGCGTAAGGAACATGAGAAATGCACTTTTGAGACACATGAAGTTTATGCTATTGATGTTATTGTGAGCAGTGGCGAAGGCATTGTGAGTAAAAAAATATGATTTAATTATTTAAATTTTTTCATATCCAATGATTAAAAAAAAGCGCTTGAGAGTTTGATGTCGATTGATAAAGTTCTTGTGAAAGTAAACGAATTTATTCGATTGCTTACCATTTCATCAACTATATTTCGAGATTGAAATGGCGCACTTGTACTGCATCGAAAGATTGATGCTCGAAGATTGTAAGATTATGAGATCTGAGGACATGTTTTAAATTAGTATTTGCATAATGTTAGAAAATTTGTAATTAGTGACTCGTTTTGGTGTTTTAAAGGGTCGGGAAAAGGACACGAAAGTCTCTATATACAAGAAAACGGATGAAAATTATATGTTAAAACTGAAGGCTTCGCGAGCACTTTTGGCAGAGGTAAGCTGACAAGGTTATATACAGTTACAGTACGCATATTTCTAATTTTAAAATTGTAAATGTAAAGGAACTGAAAATATTTTTCCTTAATATTCTTATTAAATATAGGTTAAAACAAAATATGGAAATATGCCCTTTAATATCAGACATTTCGATGAAGAAACAAAGGCGCGCATGGGTGTTGTAGAATGTGTATCCCACAAGATGATTGAACCTTTCCAAGTTCTGTACGAAAAACCAAGTGAGTACGGCTAAGATAGAGATTATTTCGTATGCAAGGATTAATTCCGTAAATGAGTCTCGATTTCGTCTCGCGGCCAGACACCTTGCTAGATAAAAATGCAGTTATAAATTTTCTTAAATGTATATATTGCGTACTTTAAGCAAAATTTATTACTGAAATAATAGTTAAATATATTTATTATTTCATATATAATATTATTTTCAAAAAAATGTTGCTGCAATAATAGCCTGCATTTATTGTATTATTGTAGCTACATTTCTTGAATATATCAATGTTGTGACCTAATAGTGGATAGTGGAATAGCAACTCTATCTTAAAAGGCGCATACAGGGAATATATTATATCCATAAGAATTTACTTCGGTTATTTCTTTAACTATTTTTTCTATTACAGCTGAATATGTTGCACAGTTCAAGCATACCGTGTTGCTTATGCCCAATGGTGTCAATTTGGTTACTGGTATTCCTTTTGCGGAAGATTTGTTTGTCAGTGAGCACAGCATAGCCCAGCCAGAACTGAAAGTAATTTAGACTGTAACATCTTTCAAGTTATAATTTAATAATCATTTACATTTACTTTGTGCAGGAACTTGTTGCTACACCATTACAGCCAATTAAGAAAGGTAAAGGGGGTGCCAAGAAGAAGGGTGGCACTGCCGGTAGTGCACCAGCTGGTAATGATGCGGCTGCAGCGACATCGAAAGTGGAGTCCACACCGGCAGTGGAGACCAAGGCCTGAAGTGTGACTGCAATTACTGCCTTTTAACCATAAATAAATTCAAACAGAACAGAGAAAGAATCATTTGAAACCGGAAACAGAATAAACAACATATTAGAAGCAATAAGATGTTTAACTAAAATGGAGCAGATGTAACAAACACAGCCATTTTCTATCAACCTCTGCCTCTATACAAATATACTAATGTTATCGCAGAGGTGGCGTTTTAAAGATAAGTGTGCATGTGTGTGTGCTTGTCGATGCGGCAGGAACAACAGAAAGCCATCGATTAGTCTTTGCACTGCAATTATTTTTCTTTTCTTTTTTTTTTTTAACTGAAAATATAAAATTATCAACAAGAACGATAAACGGAGGAAATTTTGAACAATTCATAGTCGTAATTAAACTTAAGAAGTTAATGATAATAACTAATTACTGAACATACATGTAAGGTTGCACCTTTCAACAAAAAAATTAAAGTAAAAATACGACTTTCATTTTACCGTTATTGAGATATGTCTGTGTATATCAATAATTAAGAAACTGGACTGTAACATCGGTATGTATAAATTTTAAAGAGGTACTAACGATATTTGGAAAAAGAAAAAACAATAAACAGTAACAGCCATACAATAAAATTAGTATTATTTAAAATTGGAAAAAAAAAAATAGTTCAAAACAAGTTTTTGAAGTTGCAGTTCTTCCTATTCCAATGAGTATAGGAATATTTAAAGGTGGGTTTATTAGCTGGCAATATATCAAACAAAACAAAATGTCCTGATTCCAAGAATCTTAATATGCTCATCATTCTCGAAATGTATTCTAATGGGGATAGAAATTTACTTGATAATTACATATTTTTATTGAATCGGAATCTTTTTTATAAAACTATTTCCATTTGCGTACAAATTTCTCTTAAACACATTGCTTTCGATTATTTTTCAGCGGTTGGGGATGGAGGTTGAGCGAATTTATCAAATTCTGTTTTAGCTTTATACAGCAACTGGCCAGTGTAACAGGGCAACATTTCAATAAAGTGGAACGTTTTCTTCACACCTTCATTGTAGTAGTGTTTCACAAGGAATCGTGCCTCACCGGTCTGTGGAAGTGCGGGTATTTCAAAAGGTAGTTTCTTTTCCAGCTCTTTGGCGTGTGGTCGAAGAGTCTCCTTTATGTCATTGTAAATTTTTTCCGTTTCTTCCGGAGTACCCCACACACCCGATTTCTTTGAGTAATATACAGCACCAACTACCAGGCCGGCTCGAACAAAGAATCTATAATTTTATTAGATTATTCCAAATGCATATATGGTGGATATATAAAAAGAGAAAACCATTACGTAAATATAACATGCAATTTTAACATTGGGTACTTACCCTATTACCATTTTGGAAGAATAGTTTGAATCTTAAACTAGTAAAACGAAAATGAGTCGTTTAAATAAACTGGCAAATGCTTTTTGGGTTTATGCTGTTTAATGATTACTCTATTCTTTTCAAGAAAATTACTAACAATTCCACATTGGTTGACAGCCAAATCTAACAGAGAACGTATCAACATATGTCATACGTTCTTCGTTGAAGAGTGTTGGTAAACGATTTTTAAAATTGTATTGCAATGAGTTCACGAAATCAATTGGCTCTCACAAAAACAACGAGCTGGCATTCCTAAAAAGTAGTGCATAAACAAAAGAAGATCAGCTGTTCAAAAATTGTATTGTATTTATTTGTGAGCTAAGTGAGTTTAGAAAAATTAATTAAAATTTCGTTAAATATTATACCCGCATATAATGGAATCGCTTCATTATATTGAATTATCTAAGTGTCCAATTCGCTTCGATGCTGCTAGTCAACTTACCAATGTTTTTTTCGATGACTCAAATCGTCAGGTATTTAGTACTTAATTAAAAGAAACCATATAAATTCAATAAAAATTGTAATTTAACAGATTTTTGCAGTGCGTAGTGGCGGAGCAACTGGTGTAATTGTTAAAGGACCTACTGAAGATTCGGTTATATCATTCTGTATGAATGATCGTGGTACAATTCGTTCTATTAAATTTTCTCCAGATAATAAAATACTAGCCGTACAACGACGCGAGAATGCAGTGGAGTTCATTTGCTTTCAAGGGGAACAACCTTTGCTGCAAGAAATTATTATACATCAGATTAAATCAGTAGTTTACGGTTTTGTATGGGTGCATGCACGTGAGGTGGCAATAATTTTGAATAGTAGTATTGAAATATTCACTATAGTACCAGAAAAGCGTCAGTTACGCAGCGTGAAATCCCTAAATATTGGCATCAAATGGTTTGCATGGTGTGCTGAATCTAATATAGCGCTTATTTGTTCAACGGATAATAATGCATTAGTACCTGTGTTAATAAAACAGAAATCCATTACGAAATTACCTAAATTAGAAAGTAAGTTTATTATAATATTAAAATAACTATTTTTGTTTACTAAGCGTTTATGTAAAGTAGGCGACACTAGTCGCGATGTTCAAGAGAGCAAAGTTACTTTGGGTCAAGTATATGGAACAATGGCAGTTTTTCTTCTCCAAGCCAGTGTCGAAGGTATGATGGAAGTGGAAGTTTATCTTCTAAACGGGCCTGGTTTAGCGCCACGTAAATGTCATGTACTCAGATTAGGTCATATTGGACGGTTTGCCATTAACACCGTAGACAATTTAATAGTAGTTCATCATCAAGCCTCGGCCACTTCATTGCTATTCGATATAGCATTGGCTGGTGAGCAAATGAATGGTGTTACGTATCACACACCAATTACACCTGGTCGTTCAATTCGTTCATTTGCATTGAAATTGCCAAGCTTATCACCAGATGGACAAATAATGCAGTGCGAATTATGTAAGTTTCTTTCATTTCATATAATACAATACGTCAATTACTATCAATTTATTTTAATTCTCATTTAAGATTCGATTAACTGGGTGCTATTTCAACCGAATATTGTTATTGATGCTATGCTGGGTTGCATGTGGTATTTAAACCTAGATGTGGAACCGCTTTGTACCCTTATATCGGATCGTATCCGGCTTACCGAATTCTTGCTGCAGCGAACTACCGGCAAACAAGTGCTTTTAAAAATGCTACGCCAAATGGTTGACGAGCAGTACAAAGGTACATTATTGCCCGTATTGGAAACGATATTTAATAAAATTAATAAAGTCTACGCGTAAGTACCAAGGGATATTTATAAATGTACTTATATGTTTTAATGTAATTATAAATATTCTCTGCTATTCAGCACGTGGGTACAGCTAGAGTTGCAAACACAAACCGCTCAGCCATCGAATATTAAAACAACACCTAAACTACCTCCCGCTCCAAAAGTACTTATTGAACAACAGGATATGTACACATACGTCTTCCAACCCATCAGCGAACGTGCCAATACTGAAACCATATTGATTCTATATTTATACTCACTAAACAAACATAATATCGCTGCACAGGAGGACCTTAGTAAGATGATAATTAGCGAACTAATACGAAATCGTAGTTTTGATACTTTAAGACATTTGGTTAACTATTCATTGTTGATGGAGTCAAAACCAATCGCATGCTTTTTGCTTTCACACTCCAATGTGGATGCAATTATTTCACAAATCGCATTGGATATGTTGAGTAAGATCGATGCGCACGACGTAAGTATATTATTAATATTTGGTGCCATAATTATTACACATTCAGCATTAATTTCTGCTTAGATTATAATCGAGGTGCTCTTGGGTCAAGGTAAAGTCGTAGACGCTCTACGCTTGGCACGGAATTCAAAACACAATGAAACAATTTCGGCTCGTAAATTTCTAGAAGCTGCACAAAAGACTAAGGATGATCTCATATTTCACAGTGTTTTTAAATTCTTTCAACTACGGAATCTTCGCCAACGCGGTACAGTGGATTTCTTAAAAAGTGAGTTTTATGCTTATCACTTGTAACTACATATACTAAATTTAATGTTTTTTTTCATCTTTTTTTCCGCATAGCGGAGCAATGTTCTGACTTCGTGCAATACTATAGCAACTTATATCCAAAAGAGCTATCAGCATAATAAGGAAAATCCGTACGCATTCTAAAACACAAGCCGCTGATTTTATGTAAATAATTATATTTAACTATAAACGGTTTGTGTTTTCTATTTAATTAATCGATAGTTAAGTTACGGTATTATATAGTATATCTATTATATGTGTATATGTATATTTCCTAATGCATTACAAGCATTTAGCTTTTTAGCAAATAGTTACGGGTATATCTTTTATATACATATATAAACAAGTTATAATAATTTACATTAAAGCTTAAACAAAAATTTAATCGTAATTTTCTGGCTTAAATAGTACAACAAATGACATGATATTAGTATCAAGTATAGTAGCAAAGAATACTGTTGGCTTAAACATACAAACATATTGAAATCTACATAACTCTCATAATGGTGTTTTGTCAGCAATAATTTTGCTTTAATTTTACAAGTGCACAACTATAACAAATTTAGATATTTTGAAATGAAAATCACATGCAAGTTTTAGGTAAGATGAAAAATTGCAGCAAACAAAGCCACTTAATTGTTTTAATTAAAGAATTATTACAAATGCTTTTAATTTTTTTTTTTTTTGCAAAAATGTAGGTGGTTCGCTCTGCTAATTTCCTCAAGTTCTTTTGTGATTTTAAATGAAAATAAGAAATAAACTAGCAAACCAATCGAAATATTTTGAAAACTTCTTATAAAATGTTGAAGAGCATAGATAAATCTGATTTAAAGCGCTCACGCTGTACTTTTTCTTATATTACAATACACAATCGTTACAAAAAATGCTATAAAATTTCTTTTTTATATCTTCTCTAGTAAGTTATTCAGTGGTCTTACATAAGCATATTTTTAGTTGCTGAAACTATCATAATTCTTTTATGCCATTTTGTTAAAAAGGAACAACAAACTTTAATTATCTAACGCCGGATACCTCTACCACTACACATTTTATTCGGCGTTGACATTCACTTGGCTATTTTACATTTTATTTCTCATGCGATTAGTAATTAGTAAATTTTCGTGGAGGAGCCTTCAATCTCAAAACACCCATTTGCAATACTTGTATTTTCGATTCCGTATTCAAGACAGTTTCATTTAGATCAATAACTGCGGCGCTAGGTTCGGATAGTTTAATTATATTACTATAAAAATTGTTTGTTATTTCGACGTTGCAATTCGGGCAAGAAAGATTAATCTTGAATTCATCACTTTCTCTGTATTCCATTTGTAAAATATCTTCGTTATTTCTACGTGTCTGCAATGTTTCTCTATATGTCTCCGCACATTTGTCGTGTATAGCATGACCACAGCCACCCAAGACAAGTATATCGCTTTGATTGTACAAACGTTGTTGACAAATCATACAACGCATAGTCGAAGCTAGTAGTCCACGTTTAACTTCAGCTCGTTTACGTGCAAATGCATTGGCTAGCTCACGACCTTTCACCTCGAGCGCTTTTTCCATAGTATTTGTCTCTTGGCGAGATTGTGAGAGCATACTCATTAGCAAATCTTTTATATCGCCGAAATTACCCGATACGTTATGGGTATTCATCAAGAGTTGCACAAGCTTTGGTAAGTCTACATATTGAGAGGCTAAATGCAGCATTTGCTTCGTACTAGATTTTAAGTCATCACGTGGCAGTATTTCCTGTAGGAGTGTAAACCAAAATTGTTCAAAATCTTTATTTGCCAGCACACCAGTGGAACGTACACACAAGTTGCTAATTTCTTGTGCAAAAACTGCAGCCTCGTCATTGCGTAATTTAGCTAATAACTCAATGGATAATTCAAATGCGCTACGATAGTTACTGTTCTTTTCATATAGATATATAGCAGTTCTGTTAAGTTTATGTGATAAAACTAAATTAAGTGCTTCTTCTATGCGATATCCATCGGATTGCTGTATGAAGGCATCAACTTCCTCGGTTTTATGTTTACATAAAAGTGCTAAGAGTTGTTCACTCTGTTCTGTTGACAAAATAACTCTTCTCCTATGTAAATAATCTAGAAATGTTAATAAGGTTTCTTCATCTTCTTGCGCCACTTCCAAAAGTTTATTTATTTTTTCACTAAAATAGAAGTCGATAATGCGCGTCGTCTCCTTCGCATTTATTTGCAACAAACGCTTAAGGTTCGTTTTAATTTGCTCATATATTTTACGCTCCGGTTGGCTTACATGCCTTTCCATATAGCAAAACATCGTATCATGACGCTGGTTGTTATTTAAGTAACATTCAAGAATAGCATCATAGCGTTGTAACTTCTCAAGCAGATATTCTTGCACATAATAACAGTGAGCACGCTTTGCCAGACGCAGCTGTTCCTCATCACTGCTTATCTCATCCAAACAATTGTTAATGAGCAGTTCATGCCATGCACTCTCACGTTCAGAGTGCTGACGAGCAGTTTCATTTGTTATCTTTTCTTTAGATAGATGATTTAGGACTTTTTCTAGTAACTGCGTGTCCGGTTTCAGACATTGTTGTGATATTTGTTGGGCAATGAAATTCAAAAGACAGCCAATTTCCGCCCACTGGTAAAAGAAAGGAATTCAGATATATTATTTTAAGTCGTAATGAAACTAAAATGCTTTTCTCTAAATAGTATAATATTAGCAAAAATCGAAAAATTCTATAGAGATCTGTTGATTTAGGTAAAAGCGTGGAATCTTTCGCAAACTTTTGAAGGAATTTATATGCATACAAGTAAATAATTATAAGAGGAGTTACTTTAATTTTCTTACTATCTTACCGTGTTGTTTTCCGGCGTCATTATCTCCAATAGAATGTTTATAATTCGTTTCCGATGAGAAAAACCAAGCTCTCCGCTAAATTCTTTTTCTTGAAAGGCTAACGAAATAACATTTAACGTTTCTCGAGTATCGAATTTGAGTAAAGCACGCAAATAAGGATACGGAAGCTCGTTTGGCACGCTAGTATTCGAATGTAGTGAAGTTAAACAGCGTAGAACTTCATGTTTTACGTTTTGAGCCATATCGGCTGGAATTTCACCGCTGGGATAACCACGTCCCGCTAGGCAGCTAGATATATATACAAGTAGTGAATTGCCCAGACTAGAATTTTCAAGCGCCACCAGTGGTATTAGCTCTGTTAGGGGGCTAGAGTAGTCACCAAGCGCATGTGTATTGAGGTAGATTTGTGCGCGATAAAGTTTGTATCGTTTGGCTGCTTTTAGTACTTGATTTAGATCAAGGCATGTCCAGTCAAGTTTTAGTATTATATCTTCTAATTTTGATGGGGAAATTTCCAGCCAGTGCTCTACTAATGCCTGAGATATTGTTGGGCTAACACGGTGAATATTATCGTTTTCTATGTGTTCAGTGATATGTTGAAGATAGAGACTCTTATTTTGTAGACGATCCCACAGCTGTGTCCACAACAAGTCTAGCTCGCCTATTGTGATTAAGCACTTTACTATGGCACCCAAGCAGTAATCGGGTGCACGAGCTGAAGCTGCTAGGTACTCTTTAAACAGCATAATAATGCGTTCTTTGGCTTGTGCTTTACGTCTGGGTCGCTCGGTGGTGGCACGATAGCCATCTAATGCCAAATCACAAGCCTCTTGCCATCTCTGATTTTTTACCTGCAAAACAAAATTATGAGATATGTATGAAACTTTTAATTTATTATGTGAAATATTTTTTTTTTTACCAAATAGCTAATACGCTCCGTCCATGTACGCACAGCGATCATGTGCAAAGAGCGTGCCCCTAAGACATACAATTGAGTGCCGCGTGACATTAGTGAATTGTAACATGCGTGTGTTCCGGCTAAAGCTAGTGCGGGGGATACATTACCTCCGGTCGCCAGACCCTTGAACTGAGCTGAGCCGTATACTAACCCAGCATTGGCCATATCGATACACTCGAGCTCTTTGCTGGAACGCACATCTATCAAATGTAATATTTCGGACGTATCCATGCAGGCAACACACTTTGGTCCTAACCAATGTACTGATAATAAGTTTGCCTGTAATTGTACATGGCGTAGATAAAGTAATGTGATGCGTCCATTCGACATAAATAGTTGATGAAAAAATAATTGATTGCCACGTCCTAATACAAGAACAGGGTCGACTGATCGTGTTGTATCTGCTGCCTGAATTAAAACCATTTGCCAAGCTAGTAACGGTAAACAATCAGGTGGACCTTGTAGTAAATGGTACTTAATTACTTTCAGTCGTGGACGTATTGTTACAATAAAGTATTTCGATAAAGTGGCAAGGGCTATAATGCAATATTGATCCAGTTCATGAGAGTTATCCATCATTAACGGTTCCATGGCGCAAACTTCACCGCGTGCGCCACTGAAAAGACATCGCGACGAGCAACCACGAATACCCAACTTACGCGTGAAGCTCAGGGACCACACTGATCCGCCAGAATCAGAGCAAAGTGCTAAGGCAGGTCTGGAAGTCCATTTTAAAAGCAGTACCCCAGTGTTTGGTGTGATTGCATCGAAAACGTTGCGCAAAACATCACCGGATTGTGTATCTATCATAACTATAAGTCCTCGAGCATAGCCCGCCAGCAGACGTGAACAATCTGGATTATAAGCCAACGCCGAAACGGCTCCTTGCGCATGTTTGTCTTGATGAGCCCAACGTAAAGCCTGTGTAATGTCAAAGTTTAGTATATGCCCATGTGAAGTTCCTATGCCGATTAAGGATGATACAGCACAAGCTGTTGCCATACCGGCATTGACACGATCCTAAAAATAAAAAATAAAATTTAATTTGCATTTATATACATATAAAATTTAACAAACCGCAGCTGAAGCTATCTGTGCTGAAACACCTTGCATCATAGCATAACGCATGATAGAACCACCACCTCCTGCTCCGCCATTACGGACTCCGCCTTCTTCTGCTATAGAGGGCGTAGGTGTAGGACCGGGTATAGGGACGCCCAATTCAGAACCAATATCTGAATCTGCTTCAAATTCACTTAATGCAGATTCTAAAGTCGGCAAAGCACCACTAGGAGGAATTGCATATTCTACGTCGTCTAACTGAAAAATATTTGCAAACATTTATTGTACCGATAATTAAATGAAAAAATCACGTTCAACAATTTACATCTTCCACATCTAGTAATGACTCTGCAAGCAAACTGTCACTAGATCCACGATCCGACTCCAAAAGCGATTGTAGAGACGGTGCTTTTAGTTCATTCATACTCTATATTTTTAAATGAGTACCTAAATATTTCGTAAATTTTATGAAGCCCGTTAATAGAGAATTTTTTCTCTTTTTCTTTCGTTATCAACTAAATTTGCACCCCCACACTGCGGTATATTTTTCATTTGTTGACTCCGCCGCCGCCCGATATTTCAATATTTTTCTTTGTTGTGACACAATCATTGTGACAATTCAACAGCTGTTTTTGGAAATGATAGTACCTTGCCATTTTTCAATGAATTTTTTAAAATATCAGATTATTTGCAGGGTATCGGAAATGATCCCAAACTATTTCAAATTTGTGAACCCGAACAATTAGAGAATTAACTACTAGTTAAAAATTAATTAAAAAATAAAGGTCAGGTTTTTATTTTTGAACGTCTGGTATCTATGTCACGTCATCATTATTCGATCAGTGTTCGAATTTCAAAGAGTAAAACATTTTTTACTTTATTCGGAATTCATTCATATATCAAATTACCTCTCTTCTTCCTATTTAGCTGAAAATCTTACAGCTTCTTGATAAGTTATAAAATCTAGATTCATTTGAGAGCAAATTATTTCTATTCGAATTTTAGTTTGCGAGAAAAATATTATCATATCTTATGCCAATTTCCTGGGTCTTAAATCTACCATCACCATTACAAATCTACTACGATTTTGCTTGGAGGAAATATGATTGTTATGAACCCTGTTTCCGACCTGCGCATTCATACAAAACTATTTTTCTTATCTATTTAGAAAATATTCCAATAGAATTTGTGCGATGGTGCCTGTCAAACAGCTGAGTGGGAGAAGATTTATATTTTTTTTGGTTCTTGGTGTATTCGCGCTGCTTCTCATTTTACGGTTTTTCGTAACTGATTCGTCTGATATGAGTCGGTGCATATTTTGTGATATTTCCTCGGGAAAACAAGCTAACACAGAGCTTTTGTTTGAAAACGATGAATTTGTAATATTTAAGGACATAAAACCTGCATCAACGTATCATTACCTTGCAGTTCCTAAGCGACATACAGAGAGCTTGAAAGCATTGACCAAAGATGATCTAGTATTGGGTAAGATCAATAAGTTTGGTTTATTGTTTTGTGACCTAGTTTGAATAAGGCTTTGCAAAACTTGCTCTCGGCCAAAGTTTATTTAAGTAAATTTTTATTTATTTATTTATTTATGAGAGCTTGCATAACAAGAATTTGTTATGGAAACTATGGTACGCAGCGCTAGCAACATCGGCTTTCGGCTGACTGGTTTATTTAAATACGGCGAAGAAGATCGGATTCCTTTAGGAAATTATAAATTTTAGAGATGTTTGCTACTGATGGTATCCTTAATAATTGAACCGGATCTTCGTTGTTGAAGTGGTTTGTTCTTGAGTTTTCCAGCGCGGGACAGGTGATAAGTAGGTGATGAATGCTGACGATGCAATCACAGAAGGGACATTGATTTAGGCGACTGCCGCTGAGTAGGTGTGAATTGGTTATGATACAGTGCCCGATGCGAAGTCTGATGTAAGGGGTAATTAAATTNGAAGCCATGACTAACGTTAGATCTGAAGTTTTTGAGAATAACACGAGGTCATCGGCATAAATTTGATGGTTAATGCGAGGGAAAGCAGCTAAAATATCGCTTATTTCGTTAAATGCAATTGTGAAGAGAATGGTGGAGAGAGGGGACCCTTGAGGGGTGCCATTATCAAGAGGAAGTATATCGGAACGGACGTTACTTATGAGGACAGTCATTTTGCGTGTGGAGAGGAATGATTTAATGAATTTGTATATTTTTGAGCCAACTTTCCATTTGCTCAGTTGCCTTAAAATAACGTGGCTTCCGATTCTATCGAAGGCTTTTAAAAAATCGAGCGAAAGTATTGTAACATGATTTTTGTGGGATAATGCGTCAGACACTACATGATCGAGATGCAAAAGAGCATCTAATGTTCCTTGCCCCTTTTTGAATGCGAATTGGTTGGGGTGAATAAGATTGTGGTATTGGGCGTACCAGGAGAGTCTCGTGGTAATGATTTTCTCCATTAATTTGCCTAAGCAAGGTAGAAGAGATATAGGACGGTAGCTGCTGACTTCCCCGGGGGGCTTGCCAGGTTTTAAGATAGGTATTATAGCTCTAGTCTTCCATTGGGAAGGATAGTTGCCAGTGTTGTAGATGTTGTTATAGTGGTTGGTTAGACGGGATAGTAGGGAGGGAGGGAGATGTTTAATGATGGGGTATGATATTTTATCGACTCCGGGGGTTTTGCCCTTAACGCGGTAAAGGGCAGAGAGGATTTCGGGGGTGGATATTTCGGAATCTAAGAACTTGGCCGATGGAGACAGGTTGGAGGGGGGTTGATAGGGGGTGTTAAGGGTTGAATGTTTGCAGTGAGCAAATTCTGGGGGGAAATTTGAGTTAGAGGAAACATTGGAAAAGTGAAGAGCAAATTCCGAGGCTATATCTCGGGGATATAGTAGATTGCCACGGGAGGATTTGAGGAAGGAGATTGGGGAGAAAGAGGGTAAGCCCGTTAGTCTTCTTATGTCAGACCAAATTTTTTTAGTACTAGAATTGGGATTAATTTCGCTAGTGAACTTTTGGAAGCAGATGATCTTTGCAGATTTGGCTTTGCGACGGAAGAGAGCGTTCATCTTTTTATATTTTACTAAACTGGTGACTAAACGGTTACGTCTGAACTCGTGCCAAGCAAGCTGTTTTTGTTGCCTTAGTGAACTGAGTTCGCTGTTCCACCAACGTGGTGCCAATTTGGCTGGTTTGGAAGAGGATTGGGGAATGGAGTTGCTTGCAGCTATACGGATAATTTTTTGTATGCGTGAGGATTCTTGGCTTACGTTAGAGGAGATGGGAAAGAGCGTAGATTGGACTACACAAATTTCGTTGAATCGGTTCCAGTCGGCTTGGTCGGTTTTGAAGCGAACTCTGGCTTTGAAGTGGGAGGCGGGGCTAGGGGAGGAGATTCTAGAGAGGATAGGGAAGTGGTCGCTACCGTAGAGGTCGTCGATACGACACCAGGAAGTTTTGGTGAAGAGGGAGGAAGAACAGAGAGTGAGGTCTATGTGGGTGAAGGTTGAATGAGTGGAAAAGTGTGTAGGAGAACCGTCGTTGAGGATGATACAATTTGAAGTTAGGATGGCGTCTTCAATGCTTCGGCCTTTTACGTTCGTTTGAGGAGAACCCCATAGAGGGCTCCACGCGTTAAAGTCGCCCAATAATACAAATGGATCGGATCTTAGGGATAGTAGATTAAGGAAATCGGGTGTTGAGAATTGTTGGTCGGGAGGGGAATAAGCACATATAAACGAGATTTTGTTTGGGGATTGAATTTCTATGGCTAGGGAGGAGATGACGGATTGGGGGATGGGAACAGTGATGTGGGGAATGCTTCTCTTAACGAGGATAGCGACTCCCTGTTTATTGGATGTGATATGAGGAAGATTGGAGAAATGACCTATATAGGCTTTTGGGGTATAGGGGAAAGTATTGTATGGAATGTGAGTTTCATTTAACAAAATGAGAGAGGGATTAAATTTTTTTATTAGAATTTCAAGGTGAATGTAATTGTTGTAGTAGCCATTTATATTCCATTGTATTAGAGATATCATCTCATAGATACAAATGTGATATAATGTTGTTTATGTAAATTAATTATTAGGAAGATTCGAAGAATTGCTGGTTGGTATGTCTGAAGACTGATCGAAAGAATTTGATGGAGGGATAACAAAGTAGTCGTTTTTTTGAATGAGCTGTTGGGTGAGATTTGAGATAGGCGAAACGTTAGGAGAAGGGTCAGGAGGAGTTGTGTAAGCTATGGGCATTGAGCCGCTTGCAGTTGATGTTTTGGCAGTTGCGAGAGAGTTGACGAAAGTTTGAATAGAAGGGGAGAGGAGAGAGTTGCAATTTGCTGAAGTTGGTTCGATGTTGTTGTATTTTGAAAGATTTTTTTGTGAAGGAGGGGATGAAGTTGTTTGTTTGGGGATGTTTATAGATGAGGATGGAATGTTGTCTTTGCTAGCAGTAATACCTGCGAAGGAGGAAGGCGAAGATTGTTTAGGTAGTTGTGAAGAGTAGATTTCTTTAGCTTGCTTAATGGTACACTTTCGTTGCGTTTTGATTTTTAAGATTTCTTTTTGTTGGAGGAATCTAGGGCATTTGTTGAAGTTAGAGGGGTGGTCGGCATCGCAATTGGCACAATTAATGCGAGTGCAATCTGCACTTGGATGTGGGGGGAGGTTACACATTTCACACGTGGGATCGTTTCGACAATGTTTAATTGTATGCCCCAGCCGCTGGCATTTTTTGCATCGCATTGGGTTGGGGAAGTACTCTCTTAATCGTTCCTTGCGCCAAGAAATTTTGATGATTTCAGGCAGCCGATAGAGGTCGAAAGTGAGTAAAACTACTCCGCTAGGAAACATTTCGTTATTAGTTTTTTTAATGAATTTATACGCCTTAGTGACACCTTGGGAAGCAAGCTCTTTAGATATTTCTTCATCTGATAGTTGATTTAGGTAGGGGGCATAAACCGTTCCTTTCACAGAATTTAGATTTTCATGATATTTGCAGTTCACTTGACATATGCCGGGTATTTCTTTAATTGAGACAAATTTGTCTGCAGTTTTCTTATCTTTTGCTAAGAGTAGTAAGCTACCATCTTTTAGCTCTGATTTAATTTCAATATCACTGCTTATTACTTGGAGGGATCTATGCACAGCGAAGCACGAATAATGTGAAAGAGGTTTTTTATCATTTGCTGCTGATATGATCAGATATTTGGGGTTAGGTAATGGTGTTGTAGGGTTTGGTAGAATTGGGAAATCTGTGATGGGGGATGAAGGACGTTTCTTTTTTTTGGAATGGGAACTGGTTGCCAACGGGGCGAACCGATTGTCCCCAAAGGTGAAAGCCCCGGGGGGCATTTTTACACTCCACTTATCTCACTACACAAAATATATGCAAACCACGTGTAACTAAATGCGTAACTAATTGCGGTGAAGTTGTTTTTGTGTAACGAAGGATCAGTAGAAAGAAAACTAGAAAAGTATGAGAGCGCAGTCGAAAGAGTACCGTACACGATAAAGGCTAGTCGACGACTGTTTAAGTAAATTATTTAATATGCAATTAAACTATTCAAAGGTCAACAGTATTTTTAAGTCATGAAGCAAGAGTAATTGTATATTTTTCTTTTTAGTGGACCACATGGAACAAGGCTTAAAGTCCTTCTTTGAAAAGAATAATATAACTACAACAGACGCTTTATTTGGCTTCCATCTACCACCATTCATTTCAGTAAAACACCTGCATATGCATGGCATAGCACCGCGTTCCACGATGTCCTTTATGAATAGAATGATGTTTAAGCCTGATTCAGGATGGTTTAAATCGGTAGGTCTTATTAAAAATTCTTTAAATAACTAGTATAATTTTGCTTTCATTTCAGGTTGAGAATGCGCGTAAATACCTGCAGGATCTGTAATAAAATTAATGGTCATATACATTGATAGCTACACAAGTTTACATATATATTTTAGAGAAAACCCTGTGAAATAGAATTAGAAATATAATAAATATACCGGTATCCGTTATACCCAATTATTAAAAATAAACCTTTTATCAATTTTCTGTTTCTTGCCAAATGGTTATTTTCTTCTTTGTTTATATATTTGTGTATGGATGTTTGTATGTATGTATGCTCGCTTGTTTATTGGGAACAGTTTACAACCCTTATCAGTCCTCAGCTGTCTGGCTGGAATGTCATATATGTACATATGTGCAAATGCATTATTATATACATATGTACATATTTATGTTGATATACGCGAAAATATTCTGAAGAATGGAGCTGCTTGTAAAATTAAGCAATTTATTTATAATTTTAATGAACTTAAGCTTGTCGACTACAAGTCTGTTTGATGACAAAGGGGCTAGTGGTCAGCTATTACCAAAAGCAGCTACATTTCACTTTCCTGAATACGCTTACAAGGAGACAAGCAAAAACGTAGATATTCCATATTGATTTTTCTTGGCAACTACCTTTTGGATAATGTAAATAATTCTTTTTTAAAATATAGGAAATTATATATCACGAATTTGAGACATCCTGCCAGCACAATACGTTATGTGAAAATTTGGAGGCTGTTGTGAAAAAGTCATGTGTGCGTCGGTGCATTTCTTATACTTGTTATCAAGACATATACGGCTTTGATGAGGCATGAGATAATATTTTTTCATTGTTTGTATCAAACATCTTTTCATTTTTATGGATTTTCAGCTGGAAGAAGGAGAGATCGATGTACGTCTTAATTCCTTCAAAGGATGTGTAGTCCAGCGTTCTGGTAAAAATCAACGCCGTTACCCAAATACACAATTTCAACGTTTTGATTTAGGAGAATTTTTCTTCAACATGAAGTGGAAATTAAGAAATTTTATTAAAAGTGTGTATTTTTAAACCGATCACCTTCGAATTGTATTTATGTACATATGTGTATCTACATATGTATGTACATATATAGAAGTATTCAATTATCAGAAGAATAATGTAAAACTCAAATTTGCACGTTAAATTATAAATTTTATATACATAGTATGAATTTGGTATGAACATGTATACAAATAAAGAGAAGTAGCACAGTCGAAAATTTTGCTAATTTCGCACAAAATTATTTAGGTCGCAAAGGAATGTGAATAATGTGAAAGGAGGTGACGGGATGAGAAGTGACGAGATGAGAGGTACCGGAACGAGACGATACACCACAAGCCGAGACGAGACGAGACGAGACGGGACAACACTGGACAAGACGAGACCATCGGATATGTAGAAAGTCAAACTATTCAAACTACACTGTGAAATAAATATTTTGTTTTTATCTTGCTCAGGAACGGAGTCATATGTTGAAAACCGGTGTTGAACATTTATGCAGTTTTTGATGGTGAAATTATTTTAAGCTTAAAAAACTTGTACAGCACGAACGAAGAGTAATAATATACACGCACATACCGTCAGAGAGGTAGAGAGTCAAGGTGCACTGTGCAATAAAACCCACTTTTTTATCACATCCAGGAACGGAGCTATAGGCGAAAAACCGATTGTGTACTTTTTAACACTTTTTTAAACACAACAAAAAACGTATTAAGTATGAGTGGAAGATGACAGTTAATATACCGCCGGATGGGTAGAGAGTCCAGCTACACTATGCAACAAACTGCGCCCTTCTAGCCTGCCTGGAGTAATAGAAAAGTGGGTTTTATTGCACAGTGTACCTTGATTTTCTACCTCTCCGACGGTATGTATATTATTACTCTTCGTTCCGGCTGTAAATGTTTGTTTTTAAGCTTAAAATAATTTCACCATCAAAAACTGCTTAAATTTTCAACTTCTGTTTTTCAACATATAGCTCCGTTCCTGAGCAAGATAAAAGAAAAGTATTTGTTAAACAGTGTAGCTTGACCTTCTACCTATCCGACGGTATGCGTATCATTATACTCAGTTCTCACTGTCTCGTTTCGTCTCATCTAGTCTAGTCTCATCTCGTCTTGCCTCGACTCGTTTCACCTCGGCACTTTTTGTCTCGTCTCGTCCTTTCTCCTCTCGTTAATCCGTCTTCTGTCATTTCGTTTCGTCTCTTCACCTCTCGTCTCGACTTGTCTCTTCTTCTCTCGTCTCATCCCGTCACCTCTCATCTCGCTTCGTCTCCTCTCGACTACTTTCGTTTCGTCTCGTCTTGTCTCGTCTCGTTTCGTCTCGTCTCTTGTCATCCGTCTTCTGCCATTTCATATTGGCTCGTCTTTGCAAACGCTGAAGCGATTTCGGCTGAGCTGAGTTTTGCATCTTAATGTTTTCCCAAATATGGAGGGACTTACAGTTTTTATAATACTAAGCCGCCTCCGAACGGCTAATGGTTTTTAATGAGGACCCTTTATTCCATGTCAGAAGTATCCCCGGAGGGGTTGACATTTTAATGGAGAGAGTTGATCCTCCATGTCGCAAAATTTTCGTAGGAGTTTATTCTTTAAGTGAAAAAATTTATTTAATATGTTTGTTCGATGTTAATATAAGATATTTAAAGGCCGATATTTCTTCGACCATTTTATATAATACAATTGAGGACACGCTTTGGAGAAGCTAGTCAATATAGGAAAGTAGGTCAAAAATCATCATTTACAAAAGAATAAAAAAGAATATATATATATAAAAAACTATTTCAAGCTTTGGTAAAATACTCATTTCTTAATTTGTAAGTGATAATTTATTTCTTCGACTTTGTTCCGTTAAATTCAAACAACTTTTTTGCTCTTAGTTTATATGTTAAAAATAATGTAATTAAGTACAATTAATACGTATGCATACTATGTATGTCGTAGGTAAATTATTATGGCTGCCATCGCTACATTCGGGACTCGCATCCAAAATGTAGGTGATAAAGCGATTAAATATAATTAAATTATATGCAAGTAAATATTAGGAAACAAATTTCAACACAACGGGTAAGTTCAAAGGCCAAGCTATAATTAAAAAAATATTACAGTTAACCATAAACAAAACTAAATAAATTTATGAATACACTCAGCATATTTAAATATTTTGTGTGAACCACAAGAATTATTTTATGGATGAATTAGTTATAAAAGTAAACATTTTCAAGTAATCACTGGTCGCTTGTTGGTTCTATTTTTAAGCATATCGATGGACATTTGTGAGGAAAAAGGAATTTGAAAATAAAAAATTTGTATCGAATATTAATATGTAAAAAATATTCATTTCTAAAATTTACAGGCTATTAGTATGAACTACATTCGATTTTCAATCATTGCTAGCTGTCGAGAATGGAATTCCAAATACGAAACTCCATCGGACTTCTCAAGAAACACATTCTAACTTTTCTCAAGTTTTTAGGTTTTTTTTTCTTTTGTATACAAGTACATTCATACCTTTAACAAATAATTTATTTTTTCATTCGAAATAATTCAATTCGTAATATTTTAGTTAACTCAATTTGTAAGAAACAAAATTAAAAAAAAAAAACACCATTGTGAATACCCTAAACTTTATAAATTCACTTTAGTTCTCTTCGGTGACCTGTTGGGTAGTAGCAATTGTTACTGAATTTTACTCAATCGCGGCATCATCAAAAGTGCGGCAAAATACAAAACGAAAATTTGTGCGTTCCTCGTTGTCGATCACAATCGTAGATCGAAAGCAGCTGTCATAATTAAAAAAATTGTTTATCGAAATAAAATCGAAAGTAGAATCATTCAGTGATAGAGAAATCTCATTGTGATTGAATGGTTGTTTAGTCCATAGATATGCTTAATCATACTACTGTATATACACAAATTGCTCATTTAATTAGGTTCAGGCTTCTCATGTAACCATGGTCTAAAAATTGGCAATGTGGATGGATAATGTGTATCTGGTTTCAACACTGAATCAGGCCATGTATTTGAGACATCATTGCTATTATTGCGGAAAGGATATGTGGCTAAAACAATGGGCAATTGCAATTTGATTTCCTTTTCTAAAGACTTTGGCTCGATAACGAAGAATACGTCATAGGATATTTTTATCAAATGACAGCCATGTAAATTTGTGGGGGGCAGCGGTGGTACATAGAGGCTATCGTTTTGCCATTCATCTTTACCACCAGGTCGAATTTTGCCACGCGCCAAAGCAGCTAAAGCACGTTTCTCCGTTTGAACTACTTTTCCGCGTGCCAAATACTCAATTGTCTGCATTGTATGAGAAAAGAAAAAAAACGAAAAAAAGTAATTAGTACAAAATAAATTATTAATTTAGCTAATTAAATGCAAACCTCTGTTAGAGATGCCTTTGTTCGCTTAATCGTCACATTACTGTGATTCGATATGAATGCTGTGATTAGTATACTCTCGCCTGGCACATATCCGCCACGATCAAGTGCCACTCGCGCTACGACTTTACCGCCACCCACACATGCCACACCAAGTTTGTGTTCGATCTCACAAGTAAATGGTTGCTAAAATTCAAATCAGATTTTTTTTTAATACAAATAATCAAACGTTTGAAACACACTTATATATTTATGTATTTGTTTTTTGTTCAACATACCGACAATATGGGTCTCTCCATATTTAGATCGATTGGATTCATCACAATAAATACTTGATGATTTTTATGTATAAGTCCATTTGGCTCACGCAATGCAGCTTTACAATAGTATTGTATCCAACCATAACGACCCAAAAACGTGGACGGCAAACCCACTGGCAGACCTAATTTGAATGGAAAACTGTGTATACCGGGCGAAAGTACTGATGGTCCTTGATCGACATCACCCAGCAGACGCATTCGAAAGTCAATATAATTTTCTTTGTCATATGTACGCTCCTGTCGGGCTGTACCGGCACGCACTACGCCCTCGCCGACAACGTGAAAATGTAGACCTAAGGCTGGTGTGTCATCTTGCAGTTCGATAAGTACACGTCCGGACAGAAATTGACCAGGAAAATAAAGTAGCGATGTGTTGTCGAAGATAATGAGGAATTTCAATAATTTTCGTGGCATTTTGTTGTGAGTTATTGTTGCATTCCAGTCTAAATGTAAATGCCGTCTTGTGGTGTTATGAGTCGTTTACGTTTTAATGATCGATCTGCAGGGCAGGGGTTTCCTATAGTTTACTGTAAAGTAGAAATTGGAGGTTAGATATGTATAATAGAAGGAGGATTTATATATTAAATTGGGATAATGAAGGAATTGTGAGGTCACGGGTGAGTGCAAACCTGTTTTGGTAGTACTAACTAAGCTATAAAAAAAATGTTCCACCAAACCAATTCCTCGAAAACTCTTAATGACAACTCTTGCGAACCTGCCATTCTCTAAGCCTCTGCACCACCTTTGTACTATCTAGGGGAAGCATAGCCAATGGAGCAGTGGTACGCTCTACATAAGATTGTTTTTCCTCTATTTTGCGAGGCAGGACGTATTATTTTCTCCGGTGTTCAGTTGAAGAAGTCACTTGGTAGAGAGTCACCTTGTGTGAATCCTCGTTCGGTACGGAACGGCTCGACTGCGCTTCTTTTATAGTTTTGAGTCAGTTAACACAGCCTTCTAAGTTTTACAGGTATACAAAACTCAGACATATCGGTATAGATTCAGGCGTATCGACAGCTCCTATTAATGCGGTAGAAGGCAGTTTTAAATCGGGCGAAAGGGTGATTTAAAAGAACAACTATTTCGTTGAGTTTATACAATACCCTAGATAGGATCCTATATGGGCATTGACGAGTTCTATGCTTCCAATTTGAATAGCTCAGCATATATTAAGACTTTGTCTTGAAGTTCACCAGCTTTGTATCAGTATTCACTGGACATCGGTCATCTGCTCAACTCTTTGGCTTCTGCATGCATGATTTTGCTCCTATTTTGAAACCTCCGTTATTAAGTTGACGCATTTTTTTTTTCTGTCGGCCGGCTTTTCAAGCACTACGTACTGACATATCTTGGCGTGAGTTTCCTTAACGAGTATTATAAATGTGCTTTATTTTTGGAAGAACTACAATTTTTTTTATTTTGTAGCAATTTTTAAGACACTTATGTGAGTTGAAAGAGGCATTTTTTTACCACTTTTGCATTATGGCTGGCATACTTTATAACTGAAAAATTTTCATCTTTAGAATCGCAGAAAGTATCTAGCCAATTTTGGATTACACCAAGTAAAGTTAAGCGTACTTATATCAGGTGTACAACTTTGCTCCCGCCGTTTTCCGATACGTGGCTGTACCGGCTGAGGCTGGTTGAAATACATAGATGATAATGCCTCTAAAGTAAGTGTGGACAGTGCCTAACGAATTGTCATCGCCATTTCAGTGACAGTTGTTCTTGTTTTCGTATTATTATCGCTCGAAAATGTCCGTTTATGTGTCTTATTCTCGCCATTTGCGGGAAGTTTTACTTTTCTGTTACAATTCGAAAAAAAAATGCAGCTGAAGCGCATCGAATGCTCTCAGAAACTTACGGTGATGCTGCTCTGAGTGAAAGAACATGTCGGGAGTGGTTTCAACGTTTTAAAAATGGTGATTTTGATGTCGAAGACAAACATGGTGGTGGAAGAGAAAAAACCTTCAAGGATGAACAACTAGAAGCATTTCCAAACGTCTTAAGGCCATGGGCATGATCCAGAAAGAAAGAAACTGGGTGCCGTACGTGTTGAAACCGAGGAACATCCAGCGCCGTCTATGTTTATGTGAGCAACTGCTTCAAACACAATATCATAAGGGGTTTTTATATCGAATCGTAACCGGTGATGAAAAGTGGGTTCGATACGATAATCCTAAACGCAGAAAATCATGGGGAAAGCACGGGCATGCTTCTTCGTCGAAGGCAAAACCGAATATTCACGGCGCCAAGGTTATGATTTGTATTTGGTGGGATCAGCTCGGTGTGATTTACTACGAGCTCTTAAAACCAGGTGAAATGATGCGTCTTTGTCGCGCGCTAAAAGAAAAGCGGCCACAATATTAAGAGCGACATGACAAAGTCATCCTCCAACACGAAAAATGCTCGGCCCCACGTCGCAAAAGTGGTCAAAAAGTACCTGGTAACGCTGAAATGGGAAGTCTTGCCCCACCCGCCGTATTCCCCAGATGTCGTCCTTCTGACTTCCACCTATTCCGTTCGATGGCACACGACCCAGCAGAACAACATTTTCAATCCTTCGAAGAATTAGAAAACCGGATTGCTTCATGGATAGCGTTAAAAGAGTACTCCTTTTTTCGAGCCGGGATCCGAAAATTGTCGGAAAGGTGGGAGAAAGTTGTCGCTAGCGAAGGACAATACTTTGAATAATATATCTGTAAGCACTTTCTCGCAATAAAGCTTTTAATTTTGGAAAAAACGGCGGAAGCAAAGTTGTACAGCTAATACAACGCAAGATACAGATAAATAACGACATCTATTGTAAAAATAATGAATATCTTTTTACTACACCTAATATAGTTCCAGAACTCAGTTTTCTTACAATCTGGATTGAGGATCTGAGGAGACATTCTTTTCCGGGCGGCGACCGTATCCAGGGAAACGTTTCGGATATTGGTCTATAGCACTCCGAAGAGACTTTTGCGTTATTCCAAGATGAGAACCCGCAAAACATCTTTGCTATACGAGTTTTTCCAACAGGCCTATTCTCACTGGCACCGGTAAAGTAAATTTTGTTACTTTTCTTTAACACCCGGAATTGATTTTGGTATTCTGGCGAACTGGTTAGAATGTTTGAAAAATATTTGGCAGCACTGCCTTTTTCGTCCATGTCAAATTACATTTGCCAGTTGATAAAGTAAAAAGAAAAATATTCACATCGAAATGGAAGACGGCGCACAAAAAAATTAAAAAGTTTTATTAATTTGTTTATTAAATCATAAATATTTGAATCTAATTATGGATAATATGCCTGGACAACAAAAAAAAGTTAAATGAAAACATTATCTTACAAATTAAAGGGCTATTTTTTAGTCTCGAAAACTTCTTAAAATACGGCTTGTTGCGCTTATTTCTTCAACTTCAATGAATTCCAGGCATATTTTAGGTATAATTAGGCCCACACATATTTTTATTTATTTTTTTCTGAAACTAACAACACAAAATCAAACAGCAGCTATTTTTGTTACCTCCTATTTCGCTGGTAACAAAATTTACAGGGCAACAGTAAGCTCAGAATACGAAATGGTAACAAAATTTACTGAATGGTAAATTTTAATACCCAGGGAAATTTTCTTACCTCGACAGTATAGGCCCGCAAAACTACTAAATTTTCAAGTAAAATGTGAAATCGAATGAATTAAGTAGGTAATATCTTACTGTATTTAAAATAAACTGCTAAAATTACACAATTTTACATACATATGTACATATTTATTTATTTATATGTATGTCTATATTGGCCTCGATTGCTATTTTGACTACAAGTATTTGTAGGTTTCAAATTCAAAGAACGCCTTTGTTCGCTTAATCGATAGAAGCCAAGCATTTTTCTACTGGACAGCACCCAAATACATATGTATATGGATATATGTACATATGTATGTCTCTATTTATAATAACAAACAAACGTACATGCATATGTATATGCGATAGCACATTGAAAGATTTTTTTTACATATATTTTTTATTTATTTGTGCAAAAATAGTTAGTTTTATAATTAAATACATCCGCAGATACTCATATAATGGTTGGTATGTTTATTTACACATAAGTCAGATTGTTGTTGTTTATTATTTAGATACCGTAAAACTTGTTAATTGCCATTTTCACTTTTATTTTACGACTTTTTTATTTGTACTGCGAGTATATAGGCACAAGCATATATATGTTTGTTTGTATGCATACACATATGTATGTACGAGCAAGCACACGCTCAAATGACATCCAGTTTTCTTGAATACCTACTCTTCCATGCATAATTACCTACAATTATATCACATTAACGAACTATTTTGTTCTATGTCCATTTATTTGAAAACAAAAAATAATAATCTTCACAATTTTTTTTGAATATATTTCCGATCAAGGTTAACGTACCGAAACAAACTATTTATTCTAGGGTTTTCAAGGTAAATACCTTGTAGAAGAGATTCATGCATCAGGTTTTTACAGTAATATGGACTGATGAAAGCATGCCCGAGTTTGGGATCTCTTCCCATAGCTTGCGCCTATTGTCGTGGAATATTTCTACTCAATAGGCGGTCGCAATAGCAGAGTGGTTAGCATTGCGTACTGCCATTCTGAAAGCCAGTGTTCGAGATCTGCTTCGATCAATATCCAAAATTATAGACAATTAATTTTTCGAACTGCGGTCGCTCCTCTGAGCTTATTTCTGATATGAAACAAAAGTTTCTCATAAAAATCACACGGCCGTTCGGAGGCGGCTGAGAAAAAACAGTAGATAAACATCATCATACGAGCATCACAAATTGTAGAAGGAGCTCGGCCGAAAATCGCTTCACCGGTTATATATTACTCTACTCAATGCGAAAGATTTACGTCCACCGTTAGCTGTTAAGCCTTGTGAATCGACGTCGAATCCTCACAAATATTGTACGGTTATGAAAATTTACACTGGACAACATAATAAAATCCGTTCGGTATTAAATGAGGTTTCAGACCCCACTAAACGCACCGCTAGTTCTGCTATCTAAAGGCAATTTTTTTGACATGTGTTTTTCACTGACGTAATAATATTTTCTGAGTTGATCTTTTTGACAGAGCAGTTACTCGATTTACACCCAAAACGTTGAAATTTATTACCAAAATAATGGTTTCAATATTCGGTAGACATAGTCGTACAGCAGGGATCGGTAATTCCAGCACGCATGCATTGGTTTCACACCACGTTTACTCTAGTGGATAAAATACATCCTCAGAGACGCCGTTCATTGTACAGCGGAAACGTGTTTGCTGCGGTAGAACAGAGTATTGAAGAAGACTCGAATGAGTCCATCGCGCGCAAGAATTCATGTTTTGCTTATCCACTTTATGGAAGATTTTGCGGAAGGATTTTGGTTTGCGGGCT